ACTCGGCAAATAAAAGGCTCCACCGACACCATAGCGTGGAAATCCATAAGCAACATCAACAATTAGACGATTGGAAAAGCCAAGGATTTATGTAGACTATTCCAGATCATCACCACGGCATCATCTCAAATTGAAGCATGCATAAGTGTTTGACGCGTGTCCACGGCGAAGCTTGTGTGACAAGATGAAAAGAAGGTGAATGGATTCCAAAGAATAACTCCGCAAGCAATACATCATCTTCAATGCCTGCTAGTAGTACATGATACGACCTTTAACTCGGGTAACGTGAGAATGATGGAACAAGGTCTGAGGATTGGTTTCTGCTCGATACTGGGAGAATATATAAGACGTAAAATCTGGAATGAAGACAGGCTCAAGAAAGGCTCAACAATAGATGTTGGTATGTGGGCGCGCATAGAAGTAAAAATGGAATCATTTTTTGATCCCCAGAAAATTGGCAAAGCAATATAAACCACCTTGTCGTGGCACACAATTGGTCCCCACAAAGTATTGTACTTTATAAGCATTGACGTTCGAGGCCTTAAGCTGCTAGCTTGTGTCTCCTTGTCACAATATAGCTTGACAATAAATAATTACGCACTAAGATCAAGAAAAGAGAATGAGCCTCTGAAATCAGTCGCTCGCAGATTGTGCGATACCCAATGAAAAGTTTACATGAAAGAATCATAAACAGTACATAGTCCGAAAGCTCTGCGGAAAAAGCCATAGTATTTGTGGAGCCCGGAGCTCATTTCCAGTAATAAGAAGGTCGAAGACGTACTCTGTAGGGTAAAAATATATGAACACTGACTGCTTGGCTTTCGTTATGGAATAGACGTTGGTAAGCAAAAGATTATCATAAAGTCTCGAACGCGGATGATTCTCAACAGGGGCCTCCACATCGAATATTGATATTTGGATGTTCATCTGAAAGATTACAAACTCCACAAAGCTAAGAGGATGAATGATGTCGACGAAACTCAAACGAAATGGCATGTTGAACATGTTGTGAAATAGGATTACCGGGATAACCATGTTGTCATTGCTTACCGTAATATAATATACCGAGGTATAAGGTGTCCGCATAACTTTTGGGGTGTTTCCTGCAGAGTGGTGCCATTGTGACATCTTGATCTGAAACAAACCGACGATATTAGAGGCAAGTGAATATGCAGTAAGAAGTGTCAAGCAGCATTGCTAGTCACCGGCAGCCGGCGTGTTGCCCATTTTATTGCATCCAAAGCCAGATGCAAATCTTTGACAGAAAAGTGATTTGTCAACGCGTCCATGATAATGAGAAGATGGAGGCTTATCCAACCCAGCACTTTTTTTATATAGACTGCGGCGTTCGAGGTTGAGAAGTCGGGTATTAACTCTCATGATAAAAAGTCACAAAGGCTGCTAAGGGCGAGAAAATGGTACGACATAATCTTCCATGACAGATTATACTGCATACTTTCACCCTCTAATTAACTTCCCCGAAGTCTTATACTTTGTCTGTTTGCTTGCTTGTTTCACTCCAGGGTGAACTACTGAAATGGCAATTATGCTGGATATCTTTTTCACTTCCACAGCTAAGCAGCGCGATTCGGGGCCGTATGCCAGAAGACTTCGACAGATGTTGATGATAAAAGCGAGAGATATGTGATGCTCGTTCATGTTTCTGTGTTGAGCTCGCTCTGCGGTGGCAGATTCCGTATTTGACAAAGCATCCACTCATTAATATAATATAATTTTCAATAACTTTAATACTATATTGAATAAATTGTTTCTACCTTATTAATTTAATTAAGCTTTTTATCATATATAACAAAGCTTATTCTAATCAATAAGGTTTTAATGAATTTCTTAGATTTTAAAAGTTTCATTGAAAACTTTAGTCTAAGATAATAATTTAATATAACGTGTTTTATCAGTGTGCGGGTCATATCAGTATGCGGGTCATTTCGAAAACCATCTAAATCAAGCTTTCTAAAATATTAATATTTTAATAACTAATCATTATTTTCTTGAATAAAAGATTTTAAAAAATAATTAAAATCTAGATTTTTTATTAATCTAATTTTTATAAAATAATTTCATCATTTTCTATAAAAAAAAAGGAAATTGTCACGATTTTCGTTACAAAAAAACTATTTTTATAATAAAAACTTTATAAATTCGAATTTCCTAAAACTAATCAGATTCTTAAAGTTCTCATATATTCCAGTATTTTGTATCAAATTTTCAGAAAATTATATCTATAAATAGAGAAAGTACACGGTTACGCATAGACGAATTTTGTATATAAAATAAGTGATCTATATACTGATATGACCTGCACACTGATAAAACACGTTATAAGAAGTTTCTAGATTTTATTTGTTTTTCAATCCCTCTTCTTTTTTTCTCTTTAAGAAGATTTTATATTGAATTATTATATAGAATCATAAAAATTATATCTATCTTTTTGTTACGGGAGCTGCCTCTAGGGTCACGTGGAAGTGTCTAGAGATCTCTCGAGGTGGTTTAGACTAGACTTCAAGTAGGAATTCAATAAGGTTGTAACTGGTTGCAATTCTCGTAACTATAGTAATGAAACTAATGATTGTTCTTGAGCACGAAGCTCTACATTATAATGAAACTCATTCCTTTATATAGACCTTCCTGCTCTACGAAACCCATGGTTCTGTTCTACTTGGATCCCTTGGATCCTAAGCTCCAAAGGCTCCAACGTCCTGTCACATGACACTCGTCACGTGATCCAATGTTACCCGTCGTAACACTTTTGTACTTTGAATAAATAACATAATGATTTATTAATATAATAATATAAAGCTTTTAATAATTATTAATTAATAATGTTATATATAATATAAGAATTTTCAAAGTAAATTCGAATTTTTATTCGAATTTATTTATATATAGATTAGAAATAAAGTAAACTGTTATTTAAATAATATATATTTATAGTATAATAATAAAGCTTATAACTAAATAATAATTCGAAAGTAATATACTTTATAAAAGAATTTACTCTCTTTTAAACTTTCTGTCACGGAGCCAAGTACTCTACCACTAAGCCACGTAACCCTAAAAGGGTATAAGTAGTTTGATCAATATTAAACCTACTAAGTAGAGCTATAATTAATTCATGACACTTTCAACTAATAATTTTTATTTATCTCTTAGCTTTTACATTTACTTCTTTCTACATCTTTAGCTTCTATGTATATATACTTTTATTTACCTTTTTCTATAATTTTGATACTTAAAAATCTTAAAAATCTTAAAACTCTTTTAGAACTCTTGTTTTCTCTTTTTTTTTTTCAAAAATATAATAATAAATAAATCTCAAAATAAACTATTTTTGTTTATTATTAATAAAGTATGTATTTTGTTTATAATAAAAGAAAGATTAAGATTGTAATATGTTTTTTAAAAATTCGTATAGGGATTTAGATTGAATTTCTTTTCGTTTGGAGTATTAACTTTGTTGTTACAGGGTTGGAGCTTATAATTTGAATGTTTCATAGTCGCACAATAAGCAAAGCAATTCGCTCTGCGTTCGTAAAGAACAATAGTTTAAATTTGTAAGAAGTCTATTTGATTGAAGTGTGTTCAAGATTGAGCGAAGAATGTAGCGAGTTCTGGAGAACATTAACCTTAAGGAGACGAAGCTAATGTTTATCAAAAGTAAGTAGGATACAAGGAAACTGTTGACAATGATGTGCCGGTCCGACTCCCACATCAAGGATATGATTATCGACAGCTCGATGGTTTGATACATTATTTGTTAGTCTGTGTCAAGTTGACAGTGCTAATTTTGAATGATTTGCGCATCATTGACACGAGAAAGTATCGAAGAAGGTGGGAAGTCATTTTACCGCATATGATTATCATTCTTTCTTAGATAATTACTATTAGGTATCTAGGCAAATTATTATGGTTTGGTAAGCTTACCTAGGTAGGTATTGCCACCATTGAACAACCAGTAAAGTAGTACATGTGCCACCTACCTAGTACCTCGGTTTGAATTTATGAAGTATCAAGTACCGGTATTGAAGTGAACTCGATACATAAGTGGGAGATTACCAAACAACCCCATCACAACACTCGATGTTTGCACAAGTTTTCACTTTGCTGCATTCTTCGCAGTATTCTTCGCAGTATTCTTTGCAGAAATCACCTTGCTCTTTCTTCCAACCCGCTTACTTCCATCATAGTAAGGTTCGGTCAGGTATACTTTGTGCTCCATACGGGTACCAGAGCTATAAAAGCGCAGTACTACCTAAGCACGTGCTAGGCCCATTTTGCCGCTCTGCACTAATTCCCCTCGTTCCCCAGCCTTTTCTAACCCCACATTCCCACATTCCCACACTCCCGCCGTTCATCACCACACTCGAGCCACCCTCACGAGCCACACGAGCCACTCGAGCCACATTATTACACAAATTGTTCGCTGAAACTTTTACTCCCCAAATTCTCGATTCCCCAACATCCCCACCTAGGTATTACATGACACCACCAGTGTACATACCTACTACCTCACTGCACTTCTTCCAAGTACACTTCAATACCACACGTTTCTCTCAAAGACATCGACCTGCTGATCGTTTCTCGATTCATCGGTGTGTTCCCGTCCAAAGTAGATGCCACCACTTCTTGCATACATTTCGGCCCTTTTCAACATGCTCTATTTCGAAGGTGAAAAACTTCTATCCGCGGCTAACAAGGTCTCACAACACCATATCCTTTGATTTAGTAAGTATAATTTTTCTTCCATGATGTTGATCTATTTAATACGGGACCTATTCTTGAGCGGGGTTGGCGAGAGGCAGAGTGCGGAGGAGGGGTGGTTATATTATATAAACTCACTTGGTTGCTCTCCGGAAGCTATCGCCACCTCCTTTCTTTTTCAGCCATCAGTTTCTCCATCATACTTTGGTCTATGGACTTTTTTTCTCCTGCTTCTTATTTTTCACTTCGTGTATAACTACCTTAAACCCGTCCGAGGAACAATGGGGGGCAGACTTGGTGTCACAGTTGCTGCCTTTGCCACAGCAATTCTCCACACAACATTTGCGCAAAGTCCAACATCTTCGCAATCAAATGCTACCGCAAGTTATCGTTCCGTTTATACACTTCCCGCTTCGATTGATGTGAGCGCACCTGTCATCCCAAATATTCAAGATCCGCAAGCAGTCAATCCGCAACATGTTTGTCCGGGCTATACGGCATCGAATATCAAGCGAACTAAGTACGGATTGACGGCATTTTTATCATTAGCTGGTGATGCCTGCAATGTTTATGGAACGGATGTAGATTTCCTCAATATGACAGTAGAATATCAATCGAAAGATCGTCTTCATGTGGAAATTGTTCCTACTTATGTTGGACCTTCGAACAGCTCTTGGTTTATTCTCCCAGAGTCTCTTGTAGAGAAACCATCCATTGATGCCGATGCGAACTCTGCCACTCTTGACCTTAGCTTTTTATGGAGCAACGATCCAACGTTTTCGTTTTCAATCTTTCGTCAATCCACAGGGGATGTTCTCTTTTCCACCAACGGCACTAAGTTGATTTACGAAAACCAATTCATCGAATTTGCTAGTTCCCTGCCAGAAAATTACAATCTTTATGGATTGGGAGAATCCATCCATGAATTTCGTATGGGCAACAATTTTACTCGTACTTTTTGGGCCGCTGATGTCGGTGATAATATCGACGCAAACATTTACGGCAACCATGGAATTTATCTTGACACAAGATACTACGAGGTTGATGCAAGCACAGGAAACTTGACATATGTCGCAAATGCAACGAATGTCACCGCAGACTACGTTTCTTACACTCATGGTGTCTATCAGCGAAACGCCCATGGACAAGAAGTCTTGATGAAACCATCAAATATAACATGGAGGGCTCTCGGTGGGAGTATTGATCTATATTTCTATGCTGGCCCAACACAAGAAAAGGTTACCAAAGCATATCAAATGAGTGCAGTCGGACTCCCAGCAATGCAACAATATTTTACTTTCGGATATCACCAATGTCGATGGGGTTACGCAAACTGGACTCAACTCGGCAAAGTAGTGAACAATTTCGCAAATTTTGGCCTCCCATTAGAAACGATCTGGTTGGATATTGATTATATGAATCAGTACCGCGACTTCGAAGTTGACCAAGTCAGATTCGGACATTCTGAAGGTGCTGAATTTATTTCAAAACTTCACGGCAACGGACAACACATTGTTCCGATCGTTGACTCTGCAATATACATCCCTAATCCAGAAAATGAAACTGATGTATACCCTCCTTTCAATCGTGGCAATGAAACCGACAGTTTTATGTTGAATCCCGATGGCAGTTTATACATAGGAAGTGTATGGCCTGGGTACACAGTCTTTCCTGATTGGATTGGATCTGTGTTAAATGGCACTGGAGCACACCAATGGTGGTCAGACGAGCTGACCGCATGGCATTCAAACTTTTCATTTGATGGCATCTGGATTGACATGAGTGAAGTCTCTTCTTTCTGTGTTGGATCATGCGGTAGCGATAATCTTACTCTCAATCCCGTTCATCCACCGTTCCTTCTACCTGGCGAACCAGGGAATATCGACTTTACCTACCCAGAAGGATTTAATCTTACCAATGCTACTGAAGCCGCAGCTGCATCCTTTGCCTCTGTCAGTCAGTCCTCTACTTACGCTACATCAACCGCGTTATTATCGTCCTCATCCACGAGCTACATCCGCACAACACCTACACCAGGAGTTCGCGATATAGTTTACCCTCCGTACACCATCAACAATGTCTTAGGCTCATTGGATGTTCATGCCGTGTCACCAAATGCAACACATCACGGTGGGACACAAGAATACGACTATCATAATTTGTTTGGGCACCAAATTCTGAATGCAACTTATAATGCCCTCCTCAATATCTCTCCATCCAAACGTCCATTTATCATTGGACGTTCTACTTTTGCAGGATCCGGAAAATGGGCTGGACATTGGGGGGGTGACAATTACTCTCTGTGGGCCTACATGTTCTTATCCATCCCCCAAGCTCTGTCATTCTCTTTGTTTGGAATTCCTATGTTTGGCGCAGATACATGTGGCTTCTCTGGAAATTCTGACGAAGAACTCTGCAATCGCTGGATGCAAGTCTCTTCGTTTTTTCCTTTTTACCGAAATCATAATACTTTGGGCGCCCCCTCTCAGGAACCTTATGTGTGGGCATCTGTCATCGATGCAACTAAGGCAGCCACTACAATCAGATATACTCTCTTACCATATATCTATACTATATTCTACCTGGCTCATTCCACTGGCTCAACCGTGATGCGCGCTCTTGCCTGGGAATTTCCTAATGACCCCACTCTAGCGTCTGCGGATCGACAATTCTTATTCGGCCCAGATATCATGGTGACACCCGTGTTAGAACAAGGCGCTACTACCGTCGACGGTGTATTCCCGGGATCAGGAAAAGGGCAGGTCTGGTATGATTGGTATAATCAATCTGCTATCACTTCATCTCCCGGTCAAAACATCACAATTGATGCACCACTTGGTCATATTCCTGTTTACATTCGAGGTGGCGCCATTCTTCCTATTCAAGAGCCTGCATTAACGACTCGTGAATGTAGAAATAATCCATGGGGCTTGTTGATTGCATCCAGCTTAGAAGGGACTGCTAGTGGTGAGCTTTACCTAGATGATGGAGAATCTCTAGCCCCAAATGCTACTTTTTGGGTCGAATTCTCAATGACGCAGAATTCACTTCATGCATCAGGTCGAGGTAGTTACGTTGACAATAATCCACTGGCAAACATCACCATCATGGGCATTTCGTCAAGTGTTAATAACGTTACACTGAATGGTGCTAGTCTTACCAGTGGATGGACATATAATTCTACCAGTCAATTACTCGACATCAAAGAATTGTCTGATGTCACTAGTGATGGAGCATGGAGCAGTGATTGGGTGTTGAGGTGGGCTTGAGGTAAACTCTTTTTCAGAGTGCAAAAGTCATACTAAAGCAGCATGAAGGCTCGATCAACACTTGAGGTTGAAGTGATGCAATGAATAATGTATTGGAGATGAGTTATTTTGTAGAATATAGACCCCGAAAGCATGAAAAAATTGCATTATGCTTTCCGAGTCAAATCGGTGAATATCAAGAGATCAATTAAAAAGACAATCATCCTTTAAAGGTTCGAGCTGCAGTGAATCTATATTACCTGTTCAAAAATCAAAGCCATGTTAAAATTTAAACAATGAGATCGATTTGGAAACTACTGATGAGAAGCCGGCTAGGCGCACAGTGATAATTTCCCTAGTAATATATCTCATTCTTCAGAGGTAACTGATATAGTCTTCTAGTAGCACTTAAAACATATTTACTCCTGGACTCTTTTGAGAACTCGAAATCTACCCAGGTATACAAATATAGACTCAACACTGAAATATTAGAATTTATGACAATTCCAAGTGAGCCCTAAATCATATGTATGCGCGCATCACCAGCATCATATTCGATGAAATCATTCTAGAGGTAACTCATGGCGTTGTATATGAAAGATTCTTTTCTCAAACTTACACATTGCGCACTGCCTGAGGTATTTCTTCCTCCAAGCCGACGTCTGCTATAAGTAAATCTTTATAACCGACTAGTCGCCGGAAATCGCTCGCTACTATGCTTGATCGTCGTCGGTATCTTACCCTTCATCGGGATTATTTCTCCAATGTTTCTTCCTTCCTCTCCACCTCTACTCCTTCTCACTTTATTGTCCACAAACTTTCCCATATTCTTCAACGCAATATCGTAAAATAAGATATGGCTACCAGCCCCGCTACGAGACCATAAATAATCTCACCACCTTTGGTATTTCTTACCAATTGCAATCCTAAGCCACCGCAGATAATTCCCAAAATTGGTAAACAACGGCCATACCATACATGTATATATCCGAGGATTCCTCTAACGCGGTGTTTTCGATAAGCGAGGTGATGAATGAGGCCCATGATAGCCTAGATAATTAAGAGCACAAAGAGAGCTAGACTAGAACTTGTATGCATTTTGCCTTGGTTCTTGAATAACTATTATAAGTCAGTCATTTCATTGTGAATTTGAATATTGAATCTGGATACTCATAAGAAAGCGATGAATCCAATGGTGGATGCACGGAAATACATACATAATCCTTGGACATTGCCAACTTAACACCCAATCCGAAACCAGCACTGAGCATCACCAAACTGAATTTTTGAAAGACTGCGTCAATCCACCATTTTCCAAACATAGTCATGAGCATTGCCCCTAGCGGGAAGAGAATAAACATGGTAATACTCATTATAGTGCCGTGAGCAATTAGGCTGCGCACAAATTATCTATACCCATAGATTATCTGCAAATAATCCGCTTTACAGATTATCCGTTAAAGGTTCTATCTACTTTATGGATTATCTATTAAGACTTTAAAATTACTCGCTTTATATAAATAATCCACAGATTATTTACAAATAATCTATATATTTATAGATAATCTATCTATTTATAAATAATTTATGAATTATTTGTAAATAATTTGTAGATATATAGATTCTCCGCTTTTTTCGCTCAAAATATAAAGCTATTCCCAAATTATTTTCCAGCTCAAAAGTAATCCAAACTTAAATTTTTATTAATTTTTATAACGTAACGTATGGGGAACTCGGACATATGGGGAACTCGGACACTTTTAGCCCATCACCAACTTGAAACCGCAATAACTTTTATTATGCATACCCAATCACCTTCTACATCTGCTCAAATTGAAGAGAAGCTTCAAAAGGCTATAATTTCACTTCAATTGAAAGAATTTAAATCAATTAGAAAGGCTGCAGAGCATTTTGAAGTCCCTAAGTCTACCCTAGCTGATAGGCTGGCTGGGAAGAAAACACGTTCCCAAACCCACGAAATGGCTCAAATTCTTTCAAACGCAGAAGAAAATACTCTTGTACGATGGATTTCACGACTTACCATCACTGGATTCCCTGCTACACCTATGTTGGTGAAGGAAATGGCCGACGAAATTCGTCTTCGACGCGTTCGGGTCGCGTCATCTCGAAATCCTACCTCGACAGAAATTCCACCTATAGGCCACGAATGGATCTATAGATTCCAAAAACGACATCCAGAACTTAAAACATGCTATTCACGTCAATTAGAGTCTAATCGGGCTAAAGAAGCAACTCCGGAGAATATTCAGGCTTGGTTTGACGCGTTTCGCACGCGTCTCATTGAGCGAAAGTATGAATTAGATGATATGTATAATATGGATGAAACCGGATTTGGAGTTGGAAGTACTCAAAGTACGCGCATTATAGTCGATTCTACTCAGAAATCGAATTGGAAAGTTACAGCTGGCAAGCAAGAATGGATAACTGCATTTGAATGTGTCAATGCAGCTGGAAATGCTCTATCACCTATGGTCATTTTCAAGGCTCAGAATACGAATTCTGCATGGATTCCAAAGGACACACCTCAAAGCTGGCAGTTCTCTACTAGTACAAATGGATGGACCTCAAATAGCCATGGATTAGAATGGTTAAAAAGGGTTTTCGAACCAGAATCCAAGAAAGTGTCAGGTGACCGACCTCGACTTTTGATCATGGATGGCCATTCAAGCCATATTACAGGTAGCTTTATTGCTTTCTGTATAGATAATGATATTGATTTACTTATATTACCTCCTCATTGCTCTCACTTGCTTCAGCCACTTGATATTGCGGTGTATGGGCCAATGAAACGATATCATGCTTTAGAGGTCGATCGATATTCTCGAGCTGGTGTAAAGCGAATCCAAAGAGCTGAATGGGTAGAACTCTTTCAAAATATTAGAAAAAAAGCATTGAATTCTTCTAATATTAAAGCTGGCTGGAGAGGAGCTGGTTTAGTACCTTTTGCCCCACGAAAAGTACTCGATTCATTACCATTTAACTCCTCCCAGCAACCTTCTACTCCACAAATGAGAACCCCCAATCAAGACCTAGACTTGTCTATACTCAGGAGTTCTCCTCCAGATGGAACAGAACTAAGGCAAGCAAATCAGATCTTTAATACAGCTCTAGCAAGCAGTGGTTCTCCTGCATCGCCAACTCGTCGATATGCCAAGAGAATGACTAGGCTTGTAGAATCTCAAAATGCTGAGATAGCCCTACTTCGGAAACAGCTCTCTGATGCTCAGGAGGTAATTGAGACTCGAAAGAAAAGAACTAAAGGCAAAAGAGTCAAATTACAAGGTCAATTTGTCTTTAGTACTAAGGAAGTATTGAAAATGGTACGTGAGGCGGAGGAAAAACCGAAGGAGAAAAAGCCACGAGGACGGCCACGCAAACGCCCAATTGAAGAATCAGAAGAAGAGATTGAAGAAGAAGAGCTAGAGAATAGTTCAAGTGATTCGGAATTGGAATTGGAGGATTGTGTGGCTCGTAGAACAAGATCGCGTGTAGAATAATTGAAAAAGTGTCCGAGTTCCCCATATGTCCGAGTTCCCCATACGTTACGTTATTAATTATAAAATTATATTAATATTATAAAGGATTATAAATAGTTATATAATATATAAATAAATATATATCCATAAATAATTTGTATTTGTTTTATAAATTATTTGTCCAGATTCTGAATTATTTGTTCTATAGATGAATTATTTACGGATTATTTGTCGAGGCTATTATTCGCTTCGCAGATACCCGTTGCGCAGCCTATGAGCAATATTATAGGCGTTGAGTGTTCACACCGAGGTTTCATGCTCCTCACTTCCACTTCCCGATGTAGATAGAATTGTACTATTAGATAAAAACGGGTTCTCATCTGATTCAATTACAGCGGTTGTAAGATTGTAGGTAAATTGCCGGTAGCTACTATCGTCGTGCTAGTTTATAGCATACGAAGTCGAAGTACTGTCGATTGGAGAACCCAAGTTCCAAGCTGCTATCCATGGTAAAGCAGTGGATATTGTGGATGGAAGAGGGCAGTTCGTACCTAGTTTATGTCCATCAGCTCACACTGAACTGACTGTTGATGGAATTCCACGTATCGATATTATCAGATTGTTCCCGTAGCTTAGAGACAACTAGAGTCTCCGGGTACTATAGCATCACCTACACAGAACGTTCGCTCCCATCACTCCTTCGATAATTCCACTGCCCTCAAGCAATTGCACCTGACTTCCTGGTCCTCCAGTAACCTTTGGTTCTACGTGACCTTGTCCTCCAGCCCTCGCACTAATGTTAACATTTCCATTGCCATCGCTATACATTATATACATATATGCACCGGCCATGGTGCGCCCAATACCTAGTGCAGCCTATTGATATGTGTCTGGTGCGCTGAGCTGAAAATATATATTTCCAGTGCCAGCCGAAACTGTTGTCGAAGGGATACCCAGGGAATAGACTGGACCATTGGAAGGAGCAAAGACTGCGAGGGCAGAGACTGTGAAGCTTTATTAGTCGTTACTCGGGTGGTGGTAGTGGTGTCTCTTAAGCATCTGGGTTGCGCTTAGTCTTACCGCATGCCAAGTCCCTAAGTACGCTGAGCACAGCAAAATTTATCGCAATATTAGGGGACTTCATTTTAACAAAAACTCAATGCGATGAAACGAAGAACTGTGAATGCATGTTGAATGGAAATTTTTCTAGAGATCATTCAAACATAACATCAGCTGCATGTTGTTGACAAAACTTGACGACTAGGATTTGAGGTTCAGGTAGAATATATAGCAACATCTTCTGCTTAACATAGTTTATCAATACATATACTATATCAATATATACACTATTTTTACCTCAATTTACATTTTTCAATTTCAATATACAATTTATTAATCATTTATTATATAATCGAATATTCTTAATTATAAAAGCTATCAAAAAGATAAAAAAACTTTTAATTTAAAAGACTATTAAATTGTATAACATTATGTATATAATACTAATTCAAAGAATTAATAAAATAATTTTTATAATTGAGTTTCGATTATAAAATCTAAAACTTATTAAAACAAAAGAATAAATAATTATTTTATATATTCTTAATATAAATTTGAAAGGTTTTCCTTTTAAATTTAAAGGAATAAAAGATATAATAAATTATATTCTTAAATTGAAAAAAAGAAAAGCTATTGGAAAGCTTTAGATATATCGATTTATAAAACATTATAAAGAATTAAAGATAAATTTTAATTATATTTATAACTTTTAAAAAGCTTTTTATAAGGATTCTAAACTTTTTAAAGAATAGTTTTGATTAGTTATAAATATATAAGCGAAATATAACATTTTAAATAGAAATTTCTATAATTTTAATGAATTAGACTTTATAATAGGGATTATATACATAATAATAATTATTAATAATATTGAGAGATATAATAAAAGTAAATCAATATAATTAGGCAATCGAAAATGAATTACAATAATAATATATAGAAATAAAAAGAATGAAACTATTTTCTTATTTTTAATAATTCAAAAACAAATCTATCTCTCTAATTAATATACTAAAACAAATCTTTCTACAAAATAAATTATTAAATTTATATCTAATAAATAAATAAATAAATAAATAATAAAATACATTTAAAATAATTAAAACATCTTAATAAATATATTAAGAATTAAAGAAAAGATAAATATCAAATATTAATATTGAATAAATATAAAAGTTATAAATTAGTAGCTTTTTAAGTATACTATAAAGAGAATAATATTATATATTTACATTTATTATTACATTTAAGTTATTTAATTTGATTATTTAATATTAATTGTTTTAATAATTTGAAATATTTATATAATAATTAAATTAATGAATTTATTAAAGTATATATTAATTATATTTCGAAGATTGAATTCTTTATAACTTTTAAAATTATATATAAAAATCAATTATTTTTCAGAATATAAAATTAGGATTTTAAAGAATGAATTTAATATTATTTAATTCTAAAGCTATATTATCGAAATTAGATATTCAAATCTATATATCTATTCCCCTCTCTTTCAATCTAAATTAATAAAATTTTTAAACTTCTTATAATCTAAACAAAGCTCTTTCTTAATTAATATTAATTAAATCTTAAATAACTTATTATTAATTAAGTTTCCCTATATTTAAATTTAAGATTATATTAGTTTTAATTAAAATTATCAAGTAATTAGCTTATAAAAATATACTTTTGAATATAAAGATTTATATACTTTAAATAATAAATAAGGTATTAAATAAATATTAATATATATAAAAAATCTAATTATATTAAAAGAAATGTTTATTAAATAAAAAGCTTTTAATATATTATCTTAATAAAAAGATGATATTTAGATTCAATATAATAAGCATTAAAAAAAGAATAAATTTAATAAGGAAGTATTTTCTATTTAATATTATAATAAATATAAAAAGATAGATTATAATATAAGAACCTATTAAAATAATATAATAGATTCTAGATTGTTAAATTTCAAATAATTTTAATTAATTGATTCAATTATTATTAAATAATGTAGGTTTGAAAATGTAAATTAAGATAAAAGTAGTATATATACTAATATAATGTATGTACTAATAAACTATGTTATTATGATTCATTATTATGATGTAAAATGTAGTTTACTGCCCCCGTGTAACATTTGCGCCTACTCACACACATTAAGTTGACGAAGCCGATTATCTATTGATGATAACCGCTTATAATGGAGAAATAGAGTCAAAAATTAAGCTGGGGGCATCAAATATCGCATTGGGTGGTGGTTCTCCATGTCAGTACCATCTATGCTTATAGCAATAATAAAGGCGTTCTTTTCCATATCAGGATAATCATCCGGATTTTCTATATTCCGAGTGGAGGAATCATTCATTTCTTTTGATACGAAAGTTGTCTTTTGAAGTTGTGGATGTGTTCTTGTTGCGACGATAAATTTTATATAAAAGTCATTTCATTTGTTGTAAGAATTGACGAAGGTAAGAGTTTAGGCCCCGGCTTATCGTATACTAAGCGAAAACACACTAAAAACCCTCATTTCTTCAACTTTTAAATTATATATTAATTCAATTAATATATAAACTAGATTTATAGAAATAATTTATAAGATTGAAAATCATTCAAATAATTCAAAAAAATAAATGAAATATTTTTATTTATTTTTTTGATAAAGTTATAGGGTTTTAAAATTGAAAGAATTAAAAATTTGAAAAAAAAGTGGTTTTTTTTGTATAGGAAAAGTATTATATATTATAAATTTTGAAAAATTTTAATTTTAAAACCCTATAATTTTATTAATTTTTATAATTTTAAAGAACAATTTAAATCGAATATTCTTTATATAATTATTTCTTATATATATAATTTTCAAATCAATTCTTTGAATAGTTAAAGATTTATGAAAATAATTAATTTATATAGGAAAACAGTATTTTTGCGGGGATTTTGTTACAAAAAAGGGTGGTGTGTGATAAGCTGGGGCCTCAACTCTTACAAACATTCAGATGAATCGACATCTAGATATCCAGACGATGACATAATACCGTCCTTAGCTTGAGGTTCAGAGAGAGTGGCCAACGCTTTATTTTCACCAGTTGCATCAACATGGAATGGAATATCAAGGTTAATCTTAAGGCTATTGTGGGCCTAGCTAGTGCCTTAAAATTCGCACAGACAGTGTGAAAGATGTTACGCCGGTCCATCCTTGGTACCGCGTCACATACTCTTAGCACGTGATGGACCCTGCATGACAGGCATAACGGAATGTAGGTCCATACAGACCAAAGGTCCAGGACCTCTCTAGGTCCTGAACGCTCCAGTACAGTACGAAGGTCTATATAAGGGAATGGGATTTCATTACAATGTAGAGCTTCGTGCTCAAGATCAATCATTAGTTTCATACTATAGTTACGAGAATTGCAACCAGTTACAACCTTATTGAATTCCTACTTGAAGTCTAGTCTAAACCACCTCGAGAGATCTCTAGACACTTCCACGTGACCCTAGAGGCAGCTCCCGTAACAAAAGAAAGCCTAAAAGATGATTAATCTCGACGAGTCTTTCCAACATCAATATAATGATTGTGTTCTAGTGCTAAGGCCTAATTGAACGATATTATCAATATACTAAAAATAGAATTCTGCCTGGTACAAAAAAAAATTCTATAATTTGTATAACACACCTATAAAAATCTTGAAGAAAATATTTATATAATAAAATCCTTATATAATATTATATTATTTAAAATTAATCTAATCTTACAACTTTAAATTAATTTATAAAATGAGAAGTAAACCTACTTTTTTATTAGATAAGGTTTTAGAAATCTAATAATATAGATCTCAAAATTTTCTAATAAAAATAAAATTTAATATTGAATATAAGAATATTGAATATAAGAATATTGAATATAAGAATATTGAATATAAGAATATTTAAATTATAAAGAGATAGGTAGTTTGTATTATAATATAATAAGATAAGTAATTCTAATTTTAATAATTTCGATAATAATTTTGCCAAAATTATTAAAATTAAAATCTTAAAATTAAAATCTTAAAAATTTACTCAATTAAAAATATAACTTTACAATTCAAGATATCACTTTTTTAAAAAAAAAATCGAATATATAATGAATTTAAAAGGCTTAAATCAATAAGTTTTTATTAAAATTATATTACGAAATACTAAATATGCTTTTAGCTCAAATAGAATTCTATTTTTAGTGTATTGATAATATCGTTCAAATAGGCCTCGGTATCTAAAATAAGTTTCCCTACAAGTTTAATTTCATGGCAAGACAGGCTGCCTAACATTACATATGAATGATTTGCTCACCAGTTCCCTCGTCTCTTCGTTGCAGGATGAAACATTATCCGGGTAATCTGATGACTCTAGAATCTTCATCAGCCGTCAGTATAACTGCTTGGTTACGGTTTCTCGATTTGATGACCACCGATTGGGCATAATGGCGAATCCTTTTGTCCCTCAACTTACCTTACACTCCACACAGCCCCATGTAATGCATGTAAGCATTCGACGGCTGAAGAAATCGCGCTCAGCATTCCCCCCCACCTATAGTTTACATATCATTTTGACCTTCGACTTTGTTGATTTAATCGTTCATCGTTTTTCAACCCCTTCCTATATTCAATAGCGCTTGTATCGCATGTCGAAATTGTGATTGTCAGCCAGCTTCTTCGATGTCTGACGCTGATTTACCGTTTCCGGAGCCATTGCCGGAGACAATACTAAAGGTGAAGGGCCACGCGACTCATTTTGATGATGATGACGGAGCGGAAAATCGATGGCGAGAAGCCTCACACAACACTGCATCAGGCAATCTACGTGATTCGGCCAATAGCCAAAATAGCGATTCGCAGGTGATACGTTCCAATGTCCAGCCAGACTACGTGGAGTTGCAGCTTCCCTTTGAATGTGATCGATGCCATCGATCATTTCACAGGGCTAAAGATCTTCAATGGCACAAATATAAGCATGCAACTGGGCTGCCCTTCAGTTGTGATAAATGTGAGGGGATGTTTCCGACAAATGATGATCTTGAAGTTAGTATACTCGAAACTTCAAACTGAATCTATCAAATCTGACTTATCATTAGAAGCATGTATCTATAAGTTGCAAAAGGACTCGAGATGAACAGCAGCCAGAGGGAGTCAAACCTTCCAACATTCCATTAAAAATGCAAAGATACGATCTATCTGCTTCCCATCGCGGAGCAAAGTCTCACGAGTTTGTAGGGCTGAAAACAGCGCCAGTTCATCTGGAACCTGCAAAATTAGACTCAGAAAAAGGCACTCATATGAACTTCAGACGCGAACCCTTATCTTCGGAGATGCCGCCTGCTACGGCTCATCGTGACATTATCACTGTACCATGTCAATCTACTCCAGATCAAGTCATTGAAGATAGTCGAGAGCTTTCCGCGGCAAGTGAACTTGTTCATTTAAAGATATCTCGAACGGAACGAGATGATTTGATAATAGAAGCCTTTGAAACTTTTGAGGAGATGAAGAGCCGTCACCGTAGGGAATTTGACGACCTACAGCGACGTATAACACAAAAGAAATATCTTGCAACAGACGAAACTAGAAATGAAATCAATAGGCTGTGTGATGACATGGAAAGACGATTGAAGAAACGCCAATTTGTGGAAACGCCGTTGCTGGTGGATCAGGACACCCGGAATCGTCGAAGGATAAAACAGCTCAAAGCAGACGAGTCAAAAGAGCATGCCACAGCAATTTCTAATATTGATTCGGAGTTAAAATGGATGGAGACCGAGAAGGCTCTTCTACAAACTCTTGAGGCCAAGCAAATAGAACTAGGTCCCGACAACATTTCCACAATCGATACAGTGAAAAATACTGCTCGTGTTTACTTCGATCAAGGAAAGCTAGTCGAAGCTGAACGCATGTATTTGCGAGCTCTAAATGGTTATCAAAATGCTAATGGTCCAACGCAAATGCTAATAAATGCTGTAATGAACAACCTTGGTCGCATCTATTACCGGCAGGGTAATATGACTAAAACTGAGCAGATGTATGTTCAAGCTTTGGCTAGTATTGAAAAATATTTGGGAAGCAATCACCCCACAACTCGCAATACAGCAAATAGGCTCGGACATGTTTATCAAAAGCAGGGCAAGCTTGAGGAAGCGCAAAGACTCTTTGGAGAATCTACAGCCCCGGTATTAGAGCCATCTCCAAAGATGGTCAAAGGGGCTGCAGGAATGAATATCTTGCAATCTAATTTTAAACAAAGGGATAACCTCACAGGTACGAGAAAATTTACTAGCAATAACATTTGAGATCTTGGGAAAGCTTTTCGAAACATTGATGATTCGCATAATGTCAACTCTCAAAATCAATTTGATGTTGTTCGATGGTCGACCTCAGAAGATGCATCTTTGCTACGAACTATTGCCAGACTCGGATTAGAAGATTGGCCCGCTGTCTCCACGGTAGTTGGAACTAAGACAGCAGATCAATGTCATTACCGTTATCTCAGATTCGAGAAGAGCTTCGGAATCGACCCTACCTCTTCTGATAAATCTTCGCAGATCAAATTTTTCATGGCTACTATTGTGAAGAATTCTTCATCAGAATTGGCACATTGGTTGCGTGATCATAAGAATATCTCGGAAGATGGGGATGATATTGTATCAGGATCAAATAAAGGCAGCGCTGAGCTTAAAGAAAGCAGTAATAAGGCACCTTCCACACCTGGATCCAGAAGTCCAGTTGCCAGTAAATCTTTCGGTAATGAAGAGATTACTCATTGGAAGAATTCCATGGAGAGTAAAACGCTTGATATTGGTATTCAATCAAACTCGGATACCCACAGAAAGAGTTCGAGTCCGCTATCTGCTGAATTAGGCCACGATGGGTATGGATACACAAAGCCCATGCTAGAAAGAACTGCACTCGAAATTGCGGAGTTAAGAGCTGAAAGAAGGGCAGAGATCGAGAGACGTTGTGCGGAGCTTGATCCACCTTTAACCAAGGACTTACTAGCCAACATGCCCTTATATAGAACTACTATCCAAGATGTCCGTCCTTTGACTGAACTTGGCTGGGAATTTTTGAAGCGAAATTTTCTGGCGGAGCGCAGTATTGCAGAATTAGAGTCCAGTGATTTGTCAAATTTATCTTCCATCAGGAGATCATACAATAGGTCTGGTAGACATGATACGGTACGTGGGACTGCCATATTCCTTCAACTTGTATTAACATGAAACAGGATGGCACGGTCGCCGAAAGGGATATCATGGTCAATGAGCAGCAAAAAGCTGTTGCTGACGAATGGCATCATGGGTTGGATTCAAAAGTTCTTGATTCTGTCTTTATCGAAAGCCAAAACGATATTGTAGCTTCAATGGATGAACAAGCTTTAAGTTCTGGTCGGGCTGATGAGTTCGACCAGACCATAGGTCCAACGGGCGAAGCTCACAACACTACCCAATTTGAATATTCTTTAGACGCAAGGAATAGTTTGACTGGATACAAGGACCGTGCAGTTTTTTACGATACAAAAATTGCCAAGAGACTTCGACGGTCAGAGAATTATCATGATTGGGCTGTTGTTGCTAATGGTCACGATTTTGAAAGCCGTGCCGAGATGACTAGAGCTACTGATGATACAAATACGAATTTGCAAATGTCTCAAGATAAGAGGTTGAAGATAGCTGACTCTGTTATGGTCGAACAAGAAGAGTACATGAAACAGTTTACGTTTGAAAATTGGCTGAAAGAATTTGTGAAGCCATCCCGAGATCAAAGATCGGTGACAAAACGGACACATACTGCCGAGATTCCGGCCAATTCAAAGAATGTTGACTCGCAGGATATTGAAGAGAAATTAGCGGAAACGGCAAATGATTTGGCAAAGTCGATATTAGAAAAGTCTCAGTGGCTAGGGCAAATGGAAGGTGCTGAGCTAGATCATGCGATAACAATGCTGGGAAATGAAGTCCACAACAAATTACACGGAAAAGGCTGGCCACGAACAACATTAGCGATGCATCTAGAAGTCCATATCAAAGCAATTCGTCATATTCTCACCCGCCACCGAAAAGATCAAGGCCTGATGTCTTCAAATGTCTCGTCATCGACATTATCGGAAAATAGCATAAACAGTGATTCGCATTCGAGACTGCCAATCGAGGACATTCCTGACGACCAAAGCGACAACTCTTTCGAGTCCTCCGCTACGGATTCTGTGATATCAGTTGCAGATAGTATATTTTCAGCAATGTCACTCGCTACGGGATCCTCGATGTCATCTCTGTCAGTCTCTCAGACTGCAACTGACCGCTTAGTCCGCTTACTTCTCGAAGATGCGATCATAAAGCCGCTCTGCGAAGATGCGTTGCGGGAAAATCTTATGTCTTGGGAACGATTTGAGCGAAACCTCAGCCGTCTATTAAAGGGTTTTGCCGTCGAACTACGAAAAGAAGCTCAAACTCGAGAACAGCGACAGGCCGCACATCTTGTTCGTTTTCGTGCAAGAAACTCTGCACATGTGATTTGCAGTACTCTTCGGACAGAAAAAGAACCAAAAGGTTCAAATAATGTCAGTGGTTCCAGTACGGCTTCCCGCGTGAATGTTGAAGAAGAAGAAACAGAGTGCGATTTAGACATGGATGACGATTCGGATAGTGCATCTGAGAGTTCTGAAGATGCCGCGGATGATTTTCAACATCTTGAACTATTTGTCAAGGACTCAAAAGCTTTCGAATTATTTCGGGAGAAGCTACGAATCTTTATTCATCCACAGAAAGCGCAGCAATCAATTATATCAACACCCATGGCAGCCAGTCGACGAAATAGTTTAACTTCAAAGTCAAACAATTGGGTAATTGCATTACCCGGAATGCTTCATGAAGTCAAGGAAGAATTTGGGACTCCCGGAGCTATAGGAGAAAGCAGAACTCAAGTCATGGCATTGCACGGTTTCCAACAATCCTCAGCAGACATGCAGTCAGAGATAAGTAGGGGGGTACATCAACCAATCCGGCAAAAGTTAGCACTATTTTCTAGTGCGATTTCGATATGGGGAAGACCTCCAGTTGCATTTGGAAAGACAAGGATTTAATGGCGTTGTGTGAGTTCTATGCGATAGCCCCGAAACTTCTAGTCGTGAACTAATAATCGCAGAAATGTGGACATAGGATTTATGATGATTTCACTGAACTTCGTTCTGGAGCAGCAAATCGACTTAAACAATCTCTCACGAATAATGACTCTAGCAGCACTAATAAAAGCCTAAGTTCAAGGCTCAGTGACTACAGTAGATCTTTTTCAAGAAGTTTGTCTTCCGTTTTCACAGTCTGGGCTTCGAAGTCCTCGAGGAAAAGTCTCTCCTCTGGCCTACCCACCCACGAACCATCAAAGAATCAACTCGATTCGAACAATCCAAATACTGTAGGACCAGTAATGCTTCCAGTTGAGAATGTATATCTTCTTCTGTGTTATCCGTCTGGTCGTTACGCTACTCGACTTCTGCAGTTGGATGTTCACAATCTCGAACCTAAATCTGATCAATCACTCTTCACTATACTTCGAAGTAATTATAAATCAATGAGAGGTCGATTCTTTAACCTGGTATCATTAAAGACTCTTAAATCGATAAAGTTTGTCCATTTCGAGTTGTACCGCAGTTCTCTCATCGACGTGCGCCAAAAGGACGTCATACCACCTCCCGACCACATTGAATATCGCTACTCGCCCGCACCTCCCGAAGTCATTCCTCCAATTGGTGATAATCATCTCATGCACCTATTTCTGCATCCGGATCACGCCGACGAAGATACTGTGTGTCTTGACCGATTCCCTAAGAAGTTGAAGGAGAAACTTTTTTGTAAAAAAGGACAACCTACAAACTTTGGCTGGGGACTAGAGTTTGTGGAAGGTTGGGACATGAAAAGCATTTGGATAGTTGCTTTTATTGTCTTTGGAATTGGAAGCTTACTGCTTGGAATTCTTTGGGCAGTTTATAAGCATAGTATTCAGGATGCCTTTACGATCGCGGGTTACATGGTTAGCTTTACCGCGATTAGTGTGGGAGCCATACAGAGTTTATTGGTTATGTGAGGTAGCATTCGCTCTACCGGAGTGAAGAATTTCTCTACCCTGTATCATCTAGTAGAGTTTCGCAAAGCAAACAATCGAAGCGCATTGCCGCCACTGGGAGCTGAGCCGAAATCTTTTCGACAAGTTTCAATGACATTACCAATTCTTTTGATGAGTCCAAAAATTATGTGAGGCATAACAAAGCGAGTTTGATTGAATCAGACTCTTAGTCACATAAGATGCCAACTTACTACAACTTGTATATTTTGGAAGGATACTCAAGCTTCGATCTTTCATGAGAGAACGCCGTCACACCAATTTCCCAAGACAAAGACATTTATTGACATGTGTGACACCTACGGGTTCAACACGACACGATATGTCTTGGTTAAGATTTCTCTAATACCCAAATGAGCCTTGTGTTTCAACTCATCTATTCTGTTTTTCTTGCTTGTCGCTTCTAAACACCAGAATCGGAATTCCGAATTTCAGCGTCGGAGAAGCAAATCAAAAACTTCAGCAATATGATTGATTCAAAATCCCGCGTTCTTGAAACTCCAACGCGGGTTCGTTCACGACCATCCACCCCTGGAGCTTCGTTTCTTCATACAACTTCATTGAGTTGTCCCACCAAATATTCTGCAGACACAAGAGAAGAAAATAAAAGTCTCACACCAAATGCCTCAGCTTCATCTTCACCTTCTCCGGTGAAAATTCGCAAAATCGGAGAACCAGAGCGTGCATTGAGGTCTAAAACGTCATTGACACTTTCAATCCCAGAGGAAGAGTCATTTGGTCAACCTAGTATCGACTTACCTGGCTTGAATATAGCCCGTGATTTTGGATGTGGATTGAGTGCTGGATCAAGGACATCAAGAATCGAAGAGAGAAGATCTGTTGCTTTTGTGGATGAAACCAGAGAGACTGGCGAAAAGGACTTTGAGGGTGCGAATCTTGATGCTCATAACCGGCGGATTGGAGACAAGGGACTTGGATCGGGGCCAATGAGAGATGAAGCGGAGGCAACGAAGCAAAGGAGTATCTCCGAGATGCTTGAGCGACGGGAAGACGACGAGGAAGACAAATGCAATAGATACTTTGGTCGCTTTGGGAAGGGTTTGGGACATCTTACTGTGAAATGTTCTTGTTTTTAAGGGTGAATGTGAGATAGCAGACTCGATTTGGGTGTGAGCTTTCATGAAGGAAATTAAGTCAACATGTAAACTGAACCCGGTACGTCAAACAGTCTCAATAGTCTAAGGAGCCGGAGATTCCGGTTGAAGTTTAGAACGAAAAGCATTTTTGTTCCAGAATGAAGTGCGGGCCATTAAAAATCACAAGGGTGCGATTAGGGTGCTCTGTGAAAATGAGTAGCTTTCAATATCATGCAAATTGGTACCATTCACAACAATCGAGATTGAGCAGTTCCAATTCTCGGACGAGCTTGAAAAGACAGGAATTCCCTGGGATGGCATTTTCAACATAATGCGAATCTATCGATATCGAACAACCGACTTTTCCTGTTGAATATAGTGAAATGCAGAAAGAGAATTTGGCAGCTAAAATTAAACATTTGATAACGATCAATGTTGATGAACTTGAAGATAATCCCCTTCCAATGCCTTCTCACTCCCACCGCACTCGTACTCCACTCTCCCGAATAGCGTTGCCACCGCAGTACTTTGTAGAAATTAAATTGGCCTGTCTCACAGCAACTTTTCGAACCGTTCTTAATAGTCGGGCAAGCCCACCTTCCAAATGAAGTACGTTGCAGCAATTCCCTGCAGATTCCTTGCGAATCTCGCCAATTCGTTTTGATTTCCATAGAACCCGAGATCCGATCAGCTTTGCAGTTTGTTTGATGGATCCCTCATGAAATTTTCTTCAACCACAACTAGGCTCAAGCCGGAATTCGTCACTGTGTTTCATTTGGAACTCGCCGATGTTTAATTATGGAATTGAAGTCGGCAATGACCCATCTTTGTCGGAGATAACTCATCATCAAGATTTTTTGGCTGCAAGATAATTATACCATTCTAGGTTTTTCCATCCATGAACTGCTGTTGTACCAGACCGACATTTCAATGATTCTAAGTGCAGTCTATTCTCAGTCAGCATACATCATTTACCATGGCTACTAACGCACACATACATTCACACGGGCTACACGATGCAGCCACAACAACTGTAGAGCATCCAAGTACGTGCTTTCTCCGGACAACTGACTTTTAGTTTGCTCCGATCAAAGATAGTCGTCACAAAGGCGTTGATACATCTTTCGTGGATACGTTGGAAAAATCCATATAGAAAAATCCAGTAACCGAGCTTCACATGGGCGCAAAAACGGAGACACCACACCTAAGAATACATACTCTCTCCAATATTCGATATCAAATCAAACAATCAATAATTAAAATTGAGATTCAGATGCATATTTTAAACGGCTTTTGAAATAATCAAATATTATGTCTCGAATATGGTACAGTGGAATTTAATACTGATTTTGTGATTTAATATTTGAATATTAGTATTTTCATTGTATGTATGGGTGAAGCCGAGGTAGGATCCAAGCGGGGCAAGGCAGGGCAAGAGGGAACAGGGGGGTTGATTATTCCGACGTTTTTCTTCAAGGCTGGCTGTGGTAAGCAAGTGGACCATGCATCCATCGTTATTTTTCGTTTCTCTTCATCCTGGAATGCCAAAGTGGTTGTTTCTGGATGGGCAAATTCTGGACCATGATATCGATTGCGTTCCTGATTAATTTCTTCCATATATTAAATGGACTCAATAGACTATAGTATTCTGTAAGCGAGATGCAAGCCATTCGGTCACCTTTCCCTAATCAGTACAATCTACAAATGGTTCAGCTTCTATGAAAAAGTTTCTATTCGCAAGTGCAGCAATAGAGTGAGTTGTTTACTTGCCCACAGTTCTACATGTAAGTCGACCACCCTACTTTCGGGCCACCCCTGTTTTGGGCCACTCTTTTACACCAAAAATCGCTTTTTGGTCTTTTAATATCTCTATCAATATATAATCTAATTTAATAAAAATTTAAATATATATAATTTAAGTCATTTTAGGCTTATTCTGAAATTTTTAGATTTTTAGGATTTTTCTGTATTGAGATCTAAAGCTTCAAAATATTGATTTTTTAATTTGTATAGGAATTATATATAAATTTAAAACTTTTATAAAATCTTTAATAACTTTTTAACAATAATTATTAAAAGAAAACTGTATATCTTTTTGAAAGTTTTGAATTTAAATTTATATAAAAATTCAAAAAAAAAATTCAAAAAAATTAACAGATATAGAGATATAGTATATAGTGAGTTTAGAGTAGTATAAATAATCCCTGTAATTTTGAGGGTATTCTTTTAAATATCTATTTATAGGAAATTTTCTTTTTTTTCTAAATCCTTCAAAATAAATATATTATAAACTTATAATAAAACTTTTTAGTTTATTTTTAATAATTTTTATTAAAAAGTTATTAAAATTTTTATAAAAGTTTTAAATTTATATATAATTCTTATACAAATTTAAAAATCGATATTTTAAAGCTCTAAATCTCAATACAGAAAAATCCTAAAAATCTAAAAACTTCAAATTAAATTCAAAACGATCTAAATTATATATATACAAATTTTCAATAAATTCTATCCATAAATAAAAGAATTAAAAATTCCATTTTTGGTATAAAAAGTGGCTTAAAAGGAGAGTAGCCCGAAAATAGGGTACCCGACTTATGCGAGAGATGCATTACATTGCAGTACAGAAATGTTCTATCGGCTGAGGCCGTATGTTGAAGGCTGCACGTCGATTCTTTCGGAAGTCGGGACCTAATTCCAAGCCAGATTAGTCCCAACCTCCGGTGCAGATATGAAAGTCGTCGCAGAGATAGTGGGTCGATAGATCTACAGGTACGGTTTTCTATCATGGTATTCATGATTTGTAGTTTCCTTGACATTCGTTGAAGGCGTGGGGTTTAGGAAAGCATGTGCTGACTGCGGATTTTGCGATTACGCTATCGTAAACTAACCTAGTACTTGCTATACCAAAGCTCGTCAGGCCATTTTTGGACACGAACATCAGGTCCAGACTACTGGGAAGAATGGACGAGGCGGTTCTTATGTTCCTCGCGCAAAGAGATTGTTCCAGAGCAAATCCAAGCCAGGCTGTTTGAGAATTATATAAGGAAGTGCTGTCTCTGTAATGTTCCTCCCCATCATCACCAAGACGAGATTTTAAACTCTATCCAATATTCAGTCATATCATACATCGCCTAATAAAATTTACCAGCCTTATTCTCCTTATCAAACCCACATCATCAAACATGCTTGCTTCCTTGATGACTAGCCTCCTGGCCCTCACTGCCATTTCTGTCTCTTCCCCTCTCCCCGCCGCCAAACGCGACACTGCCGAACTCTATATCCTCTCCAACTGCTACAACAATCTCACACATGCTTCCTACGCCTCCGCGTTCTGGTACTACCCGGATTTCCTCCCAGATTACCCAGAACCACAAGCTGTCGGAGTCATCAACGCTCAAAAAGCAGTTACCTTTGAGGGCCTCAAAATTGCCATAAAAGCCCCGTTCAAATTGACAGCCGCCATCCCAAAAAATGCTACGTTGGCTACATATCAAGAGATTGTTGCATCAGCCACCATTAGCAGTTTTGCTGGCCCAGCTGCGGCCATGAAAGGCACTGGAGAGGCTTTCTATAGCCCTGCAACCAATGTCAACTGTTATTACAATTATGCCGTTAGGGATGTAAGTTCTTAACAACCCTTCTATCTGAGCGACTTAATGCTGATAAATGGGATTAGAATCAAACCGAAGACCCATGAGCACTTCATCACACGCAGAATTTTGACAGATGCAAAGAAAACGCATGAGCTTGGATAAAACAGGATTGATTAAAAATGGCTACTCGTACGGCTGTGCTATATGGATTAATAATTGATGACTGCAAGATAGGCAACGACAATAACGGATCAACGACTATAAATAATAATTAGAACACATGAAACATGAATAATGGACAGTTTTTTTCTCGCGCATACAAGTTTCCCTATAATTTCTCTGCAATTTTTATCTTCGTATTAAATGCATTAATCCAAATCCTACCCAATTACCAAACTGTTGAACACTACTTGTACTTTTGATAGAATCTAAGTGTTACGAACGACGCAACATAGGCACGGGACTGGGGCACTAAGTCACGTGGTTGGCTCAGTCTGCCTCAGCGGGATAGACACTGAGCCATGAAAGTACAAACAAACCAGTACTGAGCCGTACTGATCACACTGAGCAAGAAGGTCTATATAAGGGAATGGGTTTCATTACAATGTAGAGCTTCGTGCTCAAGAACAATCATTAGTTCCATTACTATAGTTACGAGAATTGCAACCAGTTACCAACCTTATTGAATTCCTACTTGAAGTTTAGTCTAAACCACCTCGAGAGATCTCTAGCCACTTCCACGTGACCCTAGAGGCAGCTCCCGTAACACTAAGTCAGGAGCCTTGGCTTACATCACTTTAAGTAGCACATCACAAATCATCGAGGGCACTCATAGTGATACATAGGAAAGTCACACATCTTAGGCAGAAGATTTCTGGGCCATTCAATGAAAGGCCGGCGAAGGAATTTTTAGATCAGTGCATCATTTGCTCTCCGTGATGAACTTTGTGTAAAAAGTCATCGAGCTTTTGCCTACAGATTGCTATTTGTAGATTGAACGTCGTCTCCTACCTAGGGTCGATCTTCATGTCAAAGTCTTTATAAACTCATTTGCCCTGTGAGATTCTATAATAAGTATACTAAATTACTTATTAATATCTTAATAATCAAGCTATATATGTGTTAATAATATAAGTATAATATAGTTATATCTTTTATCAAATTGATTTATAATAAAATAGAATGAAATAGAATCATATGGAAGATTGTTAATAAATTAACTAAATTGATTGATTGTATTTTTCTTTTATGATATAAAATGATTCTGTAAGATTCGATTTAAATCGATTTTATTTATAAACATAGAAACTACTAGAATTTTATTATAAACTATATAAACCTAGGATATTCTTTAAAGAAAACCTAGGAAAAAGTAAGCAAATTCAGCTCAATTAAGCTTTTTCTTATAATTTGTTTTTAATTTAACTCTTATATTATATTCGATTTGTCCTTCAAGCTAAAGTGACTAAGTCTTCCACTATTACTAGAATATTATTATTAATATTATATTCTGAATAATTATTAATAATAGGTTATAAGTCTGGCTAGTCTAAAAATTAGCTTGAAAAGGGAATTAGCTTGATTTAAGATTATATATTATATATATACAACTATTAAGCTATTGAATATTGAAATTTCGAATTAATTAATCGAATTTATATTGAAAATCGCTTATAAATAGACTCTGTAGCCTGTATCCCTAAAACTAAACCTAATTGAATAAATAAAATTAGGTTTCTAAAAAATATATTTATATTATAAGTTACCTATAGCAAATTATATATTAATATTCTTTATATTAAGGTGCCCTAACTTAAATAGTCTTTATTAATACAAAATAAAATAAAAATCTAATTTAAAAGATAACTAATCTAATTAATCTCAATCCAAAAATTCGACTTTAAATCAAATTCGTTATTAAATCCATTCAAATCTTAATATTAGTTTCATTAAAACTAGTACGAATTCAAAACACTTTTTTAAAATCAAATAGTCTAATATAAAGATTTAAAATAACATTTAATGTAACCTTTAAATCTGGCCTCTTAAAAGACAGATCCAACTATATTGAATGAGTAAATCGAACTAAATTATACCTCGAAATTAATGGTTTTATACTATATATCAATGGTATAAAAGTGCCACCAAATAAAGCTCTCTATATAAATAAAAATATAGGAAAAGCTTATTCATTTGAATTAACTATTAAATTTAATAAGAGAATTTCAGAATATCAATGAAATGAAAGAAAAGCGCTAGAAGCCATTAAATTTATAATTAACTTTAAATTAGTTGAAAGATTTAAGAATAAAAATATGGCTAAAAGCCTATGGGAATTCATTAATATGATTTTTGAAGAGTCTTCTATTAAATTAATGGGAAGATATCTAAATAGGCTAATAGAATCTAACTACACCAACTCTAAAGAAATGGACGAATACATTAATTCAATTTAATTATTATATAATTACTTAAAATCTATGAAATATAATGTCCCTAAAGCTTTTATAATGCAATTTCTTTTTAAAGGTTTACCTAGTTCTTTTAATAATTTCACTTCTAGAAAATACGAAGAACTAGCTAAAAATCAAGACGATATTAATTTAGACAAATTATTTTCTGAATTAATATTAGAAGAAGCTAGAATATGGTTTAATATTGATTTAAATACTAATAAAGCTAGTTTTAAGAAAGCTCTTTATTGTAGTCACTGCTATAAAAAGGAATATTTAGAGTTTAAATGCTTTATAAAATACTTTGAATTAAAGAATAATAAAGATTAAAATAAGAAATAATCCAATTCGAATTCTAATATAGATTTGAATAAAAATTCAAATAAACTTATTTCTAGTAAGCAATTAATGATGGTAGATTACTTTATGGGCTTAGTTAATTGAATTCATAAATCTAAATATAAATTTATATTAGATTCAAGTGTTATAGAATATTATTCATTAAATAAAGAATAATTTATGAATTATAAATTATTAAATAATTATTTTATTACTGTAGTTAATAAGGAAAAGCTTTTTATTAATAATATAGGAGATATTCCTATTCTAATTAATAAATCTGAAGTGATTTTGTAGGGGATGTATTATATATCGAATATAGTCTCAACTCTTATTAATTCGAATAAAATAGCCCAAAAAGGGTGGGCAAGTTATATTATCCCTTTAAGAGATAAAATCAATATTATTTATAAAGAGACTAATATATGAATAATAACTTTATAAATTAATAATACATATTATCTAAATTTTAAGGTTAATTATAAATATCTTGAAAGCATTAATACCCCTGAGTTTAAAGAAAAATCAACTCAAGAATCGAATTTACTTTTAAATAAAATCGATCTTAACCTAGCCCATAAGAGACTAGATTATATAAATAAGAATTATATTATTAAATCCTTGAATATTCAACTAAATGAATCTAAATCTGATTTAAAAAGCTGTGAATTCTATAAATTCGGTAAATTCTATTAGAAAATAAGTAAGGAGTTCTTAATAATTCCTGAAATAAGCTTTAAATTCGAAAAAATTAGTATAAATATCGCTAATCCTTTTAGAACTATAGGGATTAAAGGTGAAAAATACTTTTTAATCTTTATTGATTGGGTTACTAAAGTCATTTAGGTATATTCAATTAAATTCAAATTAAAGGTATATAATATTCTAATAGAATTCTATAATCTAATTAGAAATCAATTCAATATTAGTCTTAAAATACTATGATTAAATAATACTCTTGAATTTCTATTGAATAAATGGTTTGATTTTATTCGAAATTATAGGATTTTATACGAATATATTAGTCTATATACTCACTCACAGAATGGAATAGTCAAAATATTAAACAGATATATAGTCGAAAGATTAATCTATTTAATTAAGAAAAAAGATATTTTATTTTATTTATAACTATATCTGATTAAAATTATAGTTTATATCAAAAATAGAATTTATAATAGTTTTATTAATAAATCATTATTTGAATTAATATATAATAAAAAGTCTAATTTAAACTATATTAAAGTCCTAGGCTCTTTTACTTATATTATTAATAATAAAGAGATTTATGTTACGGGAGCTGCCTCTAGGGTCACGTGGAAGTGTCTAGAGTTCTCTCGAGGTGGTTTAGACTAGACTTCAAGTAGGAATTCAATAAGGTTGTAACTGGTTGCAATTCTCGTAACTATAGTAATGAAACTAATGATTGTTCTTAAGCACGAAGCTCTACATTGTAATGAAACCCATTCCCTTATATAGACCTTTCGTTCTCGTCTGGATAGCTTGGGTAGACTGTCTATCCTGTCTATCCACAGATAGCCTGGATAGCTTGGGTAGACTGTCTATCCATCACGTGACACTTGCACCGTGACCTACATGATACTACTGCTTATCTAACCTGTGCTTACTAGATAACCTGTAACCGCTATCCCTCCTGTGCCTACTGTAGGGTAGGTGCCAACAAAAGATAGGTACCTATCTTTTAATCATTGCTTATTGATTCGGTTACCGCTATCTTTCGTTACCCTTTAATCCAACTGTCCCTACAGTGCTGTTTTCGTAGGTTCCAACACCAACGCCTTAGGTTTATCTTATAATCCATGTTGCGGTGCGGGTACCTCCGTAACAATTTATAATGAAAAAATGAATTTTCGAGCCCGAAAAGACGTATTAATAGGCTTTGATTTGTTGAATAATTACTTAGTCTATATACTAGCCAATAAAAGAGTGATTAGCTTTAAAGATATCGATATTCAGAAAGATTTTACCTATTCAAATAAATATAAGAACTAAGATTTAAATCTATTGAAAAAAGAGAATCCTGATTTTCAATCTATTCAGAATAGAATAAAAGAAGACAATCCTATTAATGTCAATACATTTTAGATTGAAATAATTGAAAACGATAAAAATACTGGAAACAGCGAAAATGATGATATATTAAATTATATAGAAGTTGATTCCGGTAAGCCTACTCCTGGTGAACCTATTATTAATGAATCTAATATTAAAGAACTTAAAGAAGAAGATTCTGAAATATAATAATTTAAGTGAGTTCAAGGTATAATACTTAAATATAAAGATTTCGATAAAAACGGAAAAACTATTTTACTATATAATGGACTTACTTTTTCTGGATATTTTAATTCAATTAATAAAAGGGTGAATATCGGAATAGATCAAGGAGACTTTCAATTAGTTTTCGATATTAGGCTTAAAATTAATAATAAGATTATTATTAGTAAGCCAGATTATATATTAATCAAACCAAAATCGTATGAAGAAGCTATTAATTCATTAGAAAAAGAATACTAATTAAAAGTTATGGATTACGAAATCAATACTCTTGAATTGAATAAAACCTAGGATATTATTGATAATTCGAATAATAATAAAACTCTAAAAACTAGATGGGTATATAAGATTAAGGATTCAAATGAATCTATAGATTTTAAAGCTAGATTTTTTGTTAAAGAATTCGAACAATTATATGAATTAGATTATATTGATACATATATATCGGTAATTAAATTGATAATTTGGAAGCTCTTATTTGTATTAGCTTTTCAAAATGATTAGCTAATTCATAAAATCGATATAGTGCTAGCATTTACACAAGGTAATATCGATACACCCTTATTATTAAGTCCATTAAAAGGATTTAATGATTTAAAGAATAAGGCCTTAAAGCTAAATAAAGCTTTATATGATTTAAAGCAATTGGCTAGAGTCTGGTTTTATATTCTGAAAAACGTATTGAATAAATTAGGTTTTAAAAACCTAATTACCAAAGAATGCATCTTTATTAATAAAAGTAAGAATATAATTCTAAGCATATATGTCGATAATATCACTATAATAGTCCTAAATCAAGAGGTTATTAATAAATTTATTAATAATCTAAAAGGGTATTTCAATCTGAAAGACCTAGGATCTATAAAGGACTATTTAGGCATTCAAATTGAAAGAATTAGCAATACCCTGAAACTACACCAAATAGAATATATTAAAAAGGTATTAGCTAGATTCAATATACTGGATTCTAACCCTGTTTCTACTCCAATAAACCCTAAAATAAAGCTATTTCATAATAAAGAAAAAGCTAATAATAATAATATCAAGCTATATCAAGAAATTATAGGCTTTTTATTATATCTAGCTCTCAGAACTAGATTAGATATAGTCCTTTCAATATCTAAATTAACTAATTTCTCTTCTAATTCTAATACAAAGCATATTCAAGCTACTAAAAGAATATTACGATACTTAAAAGGTACTATAAATAAGGGGATTAATTATAATAAAATAAAGAACCCTTATATTCAAGGCTTCTATAATACCAACTACGAAGAAGAAGTGAATACCTATAAATCCATTAGCGGATATATATTTATACTAGAAAATGAGCCAATTAGTTGGAAATCTAAGCTATAATCAGTAGTAGCTCTTTCTACAACTAAATCAGAATTCATTATTATAAATCTAATTACTAAAAAGGCTATTTATATTAAAAAGCTATTACTAAAACTTAATCTATATAAACAAAGTAAATTCCCTTTATATACAGATAATCAAGCCGCACTAGCCCTTACTAAGAACCCTATATTCCACAAAAGAAGTAAGCATATAGTAATCAAATTCTAGTTTATTAGAGATATTATTAAATTAGAGGATTTAGATCTAATTTATATATTTACTAATGATTAGAAGGCTGATGGGTTTATAAAAGCATTAGTTTATACTAAATTAATCGAATTTACAAATCAGATTAATCTAAATTAAGATATATAATAAGATTGATTTAATATATCTATTAAGGAGGTATGTGAGATTTTATAATAAATATATTAAATCACTTATTAATATCTTAATAATCAAACTATATATATGTTAATAATATAAGTATAATATAATTTTATATTATAAAATTATATTATTATATTATAATATAGCTATATCTTTTATTAAATTAATTTATAATAAAATAGAATAAAATAAAATCATATAAAAGATTATTAATAAATTAATTAAATTAATTGATTATATTTTTTCTTTTATAATATAAAATGATTTTATAAAATTCAATTTAAATCGATCTTATTTATAAGCATAAAAACTACTAGAATTTCATTATAAACTATATAAACTTAGGATATTCTTTACAGAAAACCTAGGAAAAAGTAAGCAAATTCAGCTCAATTAAGCTCTTTCTTATAATTTGTCTTCAATTCAACTCTTATATTATATTCGATTTGTCCTTCAAGCTAAAGTGACTAAGTCTTCCATTATTACTAGAATATTATTATTAATATTATATTCTGGATAATTACCAACAATATGCCCAACTTCAAGTTGCTCCTAAACCTCAGTCAGACTCATCTTTCTGTTGTTGATTCAACATCCCCCCGTTGATTCATCTCTTGATCTTATGACCAAACTAGTTCATCCCGCGTTTGGTAATCTTACAATCCATCCATGACTTCAAGATTGGTTGATTACAATGAGAAATCCCTGGTTAGATGTGTGACATCTTTAATCACTGCTTTTTTGGTTGTGATTGTGTATACTGAACTTTCAGGCTAGCAAGCAGAAAGTTAGTCAAAGGAACTCCATTGAACAGCCGAATCCCTGAACCATAAAATTCAAGTTGGGTTGATAGCCGTCAACTACGAAAAGTATTGACTGTGTCTTAAAGTGCGGCTTTTAATATCAAGACCAGATCTGAGGTCGTGTAGATTTCTTTGTCTCGGTTATCAGTTGACTTTGGTATTATTAGCGAGTACTAATAGTACAAGAGCGAAGGTCTGCTAGCACGCTTTCTAGAAAGATTTTTTCTTTGATTATAGAGGACTTCGGGGTTTCTAGATTACTTCTCGAAGGGCCATCTCTTTGTCGTGCTTGATTGTTAAACTACCAACTTGATCTAGATCTTTCAAGTCAGATGAATGAAAAGAGTTTCTCTGTTCCTAGCGATCAACAGAAGCTATGAAGAATCCGGTGTTTTATACGTCAGATGGAATAGTTCCTTGCTAAAGTTTAGCCCCGAGCCACTGTTTGACTGTCTTTTGTTTCCAGACGAACGTGCCCAGTCAGAGTACAAAAAGATCGTGGAGAGAAATTGGACTCTCCCCTGCAACAAAAGTGGGTACTGAGAGCCTTTTCTAGGGAAAATTTCAATGGCCGCCCATGATGACATGCGGTGCGAAAATATTAAATGGACGAAGGGATTTTGGAATCCAGTCACGCGATATCGAATACACAAGCCTAGATGAGAACTCTTTGTCTACTATCTCAAGTCAAGAATACGAAAGAAATCGCCTAGATCCTTTCACACTTGTAAATGAAGTAAGAACCCAGGCCCCAGTACATGTAGCAAGTTATGACTGGTCTTATTGAAGTGATAAAAGAGACAAGTTATCCAAGATTCACGTATAATCAGTATATCCTGCTCGAATCTTTACATACTGTATCGTTGACCTGAAAATTCATCTTACTTCAAATTTCATGGCTCCGTCACAAAGATTATGGAAGTTTCTAATCTACATAGGAAAGCACCCACAACTGACGGGCATTTCGTAGTGACCTTTACTCTTACAGTAGTATGCAGAATTCTTGGGAAGTCACATAGGTTGAATCATACTGACTTGTCAATTTGAATAATAGCTTGTTGCTATAACTCTTTAAGTTGTTGTGGTATTGTGTACGCACGATCTTCTCTCTTGGCTCATTTCAATTACTGACGGTGACTGCCCTTGTTGTAGCCGCCACGGGTAATGGAACTTTCGGGCTTCATAAGTGGGATTTTCCAGTCTCTCAATTATTATCCGACCGCAATTTAATTGTATGTTTCCTCGCATTGTCTCATTAATCAATGTGTTCTGCGTGTCGCATTAACTAACACAAATTTGTAGACAACGGCCCTATTACCTTGGCTCACGCCTCTCACTCTGGGCTTAGTGAAAACAACCATATTTTTAACATACATGGAAATCTTCCGTAGCATCAAGTGGATGAGAATGGCGTGTCTCATCAGTCTTTCATTCACCGTCTTATGGTATTTTTCGATCACCATTGCTGCTTTATGCTTGGCTATTCCACTAGGAGGCGGTAGATGGGTGAAGCACCTGTTTACCGCACGTATGAGTCGCCAGAACGTTCTTAGCATCCCGACGGCTGTAGTGGGCTTAGCCATTGATTGTTATCTATTGTGAGAAAAATAAGTTTTAGTTCACCTGTGTTATGATTGCTAATACCTCGATGGCTTACTATCTTACCGATGATTGCGCTCAATAAATTGAAGATGACTCGGAGGAAGAAGTTAGGCGCAGGGTTGATCTTTGCTACTGGTTTTTTGTCAGTTCGGGCTAGCCTCCTCTGCTCTAAAGATAACAATGGCTTGAATGACTAACGTTTTAGATAGTGTTATTGTAGCATCCATAATGAGCGTTGTGTATTGCGCTATCCACGGGAGCGAATATGGGGACAACACTTGGTGGTTGGTACCTATAATTTCAGTTACGTAAGTATCAATCTCTCCTTTAGTACTTAAGTCTCGATCTAAGTGATCAATTTCAACAGGATTACCGAAACACTCATTGGTTTTATCATGGCCTGTGCGTGGCATTTTTCCAAATTCCTGCGCACATATGAAGAGTATTTTTTGAGAGCTGGCTCGATACTCGCAAATTTGTTTTGCTGCAGATGCAAAGTTTCTCGGGGTAAAAATTCTGCAGAACCCAAAAGTAGTGAAGCACCCGATACTTTGGATGATTTAAAGATGTCAGGGTCAAAGGTATCTCGAGAAAAGGTTAAGCTACCTCCAAAGATGTATCCCGGTCTCGATTTTACGTCTCGCGGTGGAACCGTACCGGCGACAGAATTGGATAAAAATGAAAACATCCCAAATAGCAAAGAGAACCATAAGGTCGACAGTAACATGGAACATGCTCAGGTTGAGAAGGATCCCACGATAGGCGAGAATGAGATATTACCAACAAGGTGAAGCAACAATAATTGACGGATGGATAGATATCTTTAAAGAGGTTTTCGAATGACAGGAACAACAATCTGCATATTTGATGAAGAATAATAGAGCGCATGACCACCAAAATTAAAGAGGAGAATCCTGTACAGTAACGATAATAACATTCGCTTGGTGGTATTTGCAGAACATGGCAATGACTGTATGTTGTTGAATGACGAAAGCAAGTTTTGTGGCGGTAATCACGAGCATTATATCGGATAAATCGGTAGACATTGTCTTGAATGGGTCAACTCCCTCCCCTGGGTCCAGGATAGTATCACGAAGGCGCCGGTGACGGTAACTATAGTCACACAACCTCTAGTACCATATTATAGAAGGGACCAAACCCACAAATTTCATCTAAACAGTTGCAAATCTAGAAATCAAGTCGCTTGACCGATATTCCATCATTCAGCAAGCAAATGTAAGATGTACAAAGCTTTCAGAAACCTCGATTGTTGGTCCGCAACAGGCCCAACATCGTGTACTACAGATACGATCGAAGGGTGTAAGTTTCATACTTCAGAACCACGAATATATGCTGAGCCAGAATCCAAATCATTGTCAAAGAGAAAGCCAGCCGTGTCGAAGTCAAAGAAACCCCGAATCTTTATATCGGAATTTACTTTAAGGATCTCGGCGCCACGAAAACTGTCAAATGGGTGGTTATCGTGGCGATATCAGTTGCTGCTACAATGAAAAAGTTATTGTAGACCAAGATGTTGATGGCAAGGTTGTGCTGGGGAAAGGAAGAGGGGGCAGAGGAGGAAGAGGAGGCAGAGGAGGCAGAGGAGGAGGAGGAGGAAAGAGATGAACAAAAAGAAGGAAAAAATCAGGCGAAGAATGATCGAAGGGAGTCTGCATACTGCACCCTACCACCATTATCAAAGTTGATACAGACAGCATTTTGAAGACAATCGAGGTATGGAAAGATGTTGTTGAGTTTATTGTCATTGAGATATACCAGACGCCACTTACTGCATTGTATTGATGTAGTGAAGTTTCAATGTAGCTAAGGAGGATTACGTAGACGCAAACCTAACAAGGGCGAGCTAGGTATCACGGGTATGCACAAAGTCTCCACATCTGGCTGCTCACCGCCTTTGGTCGGGCAAAACAAAAAGCTAAACGGGAAAAAGAAAGGAAAAAAAAGCAAGACCCTTACTCCACTCTGATTGGTCCCACTTCATCCACTTTGAGTAATTATTATCGATACCCAGATATGATGTGATATGGAGGGGCTAGAAGTTTAACGTTGAAGGGAAGAGGGGTTCTTTTGGTCTTTTGGTGCGAATACAGAGTACAAGAGGACAGATAATTTATCGCTGGTTTCCCCGAAAGAAGAAATAGGTCAAGAGTCACTGCTACGTATGACTATACGACTAGGTAAGGTTATCATTGACTAAAAAGCATGAGTCGTCCGGTAAGGTATTTCGTAAGGTACCTAAAGGTAAGCTAAGTCAGCTCAGCAACCGAGTAACAGGGGCACAGTTGGTTCCTGAGACACATATCAGCCTCAAAGAGTCGAATATGTATACCTACACACGTGCTACATTACATACTTCGTATATCCATTGATCTCTTGAAAAATGAATAAGATCCTTTCCTCCAGTCCCTCGGAAATCGGGATGAAAACACATTCTCGATGAATCATTACTTCGATGGCATTCCTACCTTCCTACCTCAAAACCCGAAGATCCCGTTTTAGGAGAGCAGAGGTCCATTTCCTAATTACAACGAATTATGTGCTGGTTTTGAGAACACCATGTCATCTTGATGTTACTCTTTTCCCCGGAGTTTCCAAATTTGAGCGTCAATTTAAGCTAGAGTAAGGTTACTCTGTGGTGAAAAGAACGAAAGCTTTCAACAATGCCCGCCATTACCGCACAACGAATTCATCTCTTCTTTCAATGGCCTGAGTGGGAACACATGTGCTCTGCATGTACGGAGTAGAAGAATCTGCTTTCCTACGGGCATGCGTTGTTAGTTATTTTGGTATGGAAATGGATCCACAGTAGAGAAGGTAGAGACTGGACCGTTCTCCTGTTGGTTGTACTCCGTACATCGTCTCATCGTACACAATTGCCCCGCCGTAGCATCAAAATCTCCACTTACAAATTTGCTCTCAGTCATTTTGCCATGAGTGGTTCGATATCTTTAACTTTGAGGCTTCCAACTATCATCAACAACACCACTTCTTCTCCCCTTCCTTGCTGCTTTTCTCTCTCTACATCATACTACTCTGCCGTCTACTTAGGAGATTTACACTGCACAGCTTTTCTTACATAGATGACTAACTACTTTCGATGGCTTCATAACTCCATAAATTGCTATTCTTGTGACGAATACCAAATACGGCAATTTGTTGCATATCAATCTTGTTATATGCCTATGTATCTTACTTCGACCTAGCTCGTGCATCCCTATACTATCATGCATGTATGACTTGATCTAGCAGATGAAAATCTCTCTAGATGGCTCCCAGAGATTGACTAGTCACCTAGTGAAGCAAATGCCTTGATCTGAAATTATGAATCTTCCTAGATGACTCCTATCAGAATGATAGATATCAAGTTTTGACGAGTGAAACTGGTTCCTTTCTTGTTAGCCTACTTTTTCTTCTCTTGACCGAGTTCAGGATATTCGTCCGGTAAACCCAAGTCAGTCTTTCCATTTAACATCTGAGTGATATGACTCTATCTAGAAGAAGTGACTTCTGGGTAGTCAATCAGTGACGCTTCGCTGATCCTCCGGGGGCCACTGCCGTGGAGGCAGAATAATTTCTCCTCACATGACAATGAGTGTTGGGAGTTAGACTACGTAACTATGTAGGTACTCTCGAGTAGGTAGGTCGTCTTTGGATAGTGACGATAGTAGCGGTGAGCAATGAATCTTCCCGCCCAAGTGAGAAGTGGTAAAGGGAAAGAGTACTTATTACTACCTAGATACCTACTGGATGGTAGGTACTAGGGAGGTACAGAGGGTGTGACAGAATCACCAATCATCCCATTTCGGTTGAAACGTTCATGTCGACCAATCCCCATATTATTTCTCTGCAAGGATTATCGCCGTGCACGCACATTTTATTCGCAGAAGCTCAAACCAAAAAAAGAGAGAAGAGAAAAAATTTAATTAAATTTCCATTTCAATTACCTACCTAGTCTCGTAGTCTCGTAGTCTCTTAGTCTCTCCCAGAATATTCACTTTGCACTTGCAATTCTTAGCGCCAAATTATGAAAATTGACACCCCCCTCCAAAAACTTAATCATGTCTTCTCTTCCTCCGACTTTCTCCCTTCCACCTCAACAACCCAAATTCAACACAAGACAACGAAGTCACCCTACACTTATTCAAATAAGTATATCCTCATAATTATCAATACGTCGAGACAATGCCGCAGGCCATCGCTGAGCAGTGAATACCCACTACAGCATGCTCAACCGGGCATGTCTGTAGTCCCTTCAGCCAACGAGTAAACTTCCCAATCTTATACCATTCGATCTTGACAAAATCCCTAGACTTTCACTGTCTTACCAGCCAACTTATAACAAATTGGTCTGATACCATTCGGAAGTTTCAATTTCAATCAGCATATTATCGATCGAGCTCAATCCTTGCCATTTCCCAAGGTGAGAAGGCTCTCATCGACCAAACGAACCAAAATCAAAATTTTACCTACCTACAACCTAAACAACCCCGAATCTTTCAATTGACTTTAACACAATTCGAAACCGCCTCTCATAGACTCGATTGACATCTTCTACGACACATCAGTCACAATTTAACACAAAATCTTAACTCTACACTCCACCCATTTGCAACCTTCCTCTCACCGCCGATACTTTCGGTCATACGCAATCAACCCCACAACAAATATTTCTTGCAGATCATATAAATCACAAACACAATGTCTCGAAACACACAAGGGCAGTCTTTCAAGACTCCCCCCAAAATAAAGCTCAAGTTGAAGAATTCCAAAAAGGTCACCGATTACTCCTCCGACTCTTCGTACGCTGCTGTCGATTTGATCAGTGATTCTGAAGACAATGATTCAGATGACGAGCCCGATGTATTTGGGGGGACCGGGGGTTCTAAGATTGAAAAGTATGAAGAAGCAGCTATGTTCGAATCGGCTGAAGAAGATGACGATTTGGAGACTGTCGAGGAGGATACTGATGTACAAGACACGCCTCGAGCAACAATGAAGTTTGAAGAATGGGAAGGATTTGATGATTCGACAGAAGAACTGGTGGATAACACTAAGTTTTTCGAGGATAATATGATCGAGGAGTACAAAATTCGTTCCAATGGTGATCTCAAAAGGGTCAACAAACTCACCGACGACGATACAGACAGCAGCATCTCTGATGATGAGGATATGTGGCACCCTGATCTATTCGACACCGAGACCTCCGCCCAAGGCCCATTCTTGAGTGCAGATGCACTTCCACCTCGTATCGCAAGAGGACTGGAGGACGACACATACAATGATGACGATCATGGTTCCGATCCAGATTTAGAATGGGGACACGAAAACAATGATTCGGATAATTCTGGTGAAAGTGATAGTGATGAATCGGATGCATCTGGGTATCAATGTAAGTGAATCAAACTGATCTGACACTTATCAAGCATAGCTATTAAGCCAAGGACTAACAACTATGTGTTGCAGCTGATCTTAGCGATGTCTCGGGTGGAGACACAACTGACGATGAAGATTGGAGAGAGAATCGTCCAGAAATAGATGCAGCTACACCTCGAGGCAATTCACCACCACCTCCACCATGCCTTGGTTTCCGAATTCAGCGCAAAAAGGGACAACCTGATGTCATTACTTGGTATCACAATACTGATGTACCCTTTGTTATATTAGACGAGCATGGAAAAGACCTTTTAATGTACTCTTCCGACCCTACCAGACTTCAGGATATTAGCTCACCTTCACCCCTTAGAAACGGTAGCATGGAACAGTACAATCCAGTCCTTAGCAACCAAGCCAACATTATGATGAGCGCAGTATCAGATACTCCATCCGAATTTGGATCTTACCACACTGGTAACCCAGAAGCTTTTTTCGAAAACTCTGTTTTCATGAACGAGAATGCCGTTCGCCCAACGAGCAGTTCATCATATGATGGCAGCGATGATCAAAATGAACCTCTTGATTGGGGTGACTTGCTTCACATGGATGAGGCATTAGATGAGGAACAAGGTGAATCTGTAGATGATCTAGCCGAAACACCGTCATCTACCCCTGCTCGCCCAACTACGTCCGACGGCCTTCACCCTCTTCTGGTCCATCTGGACAAGAATACCAACGTCGGTGCTTTTCGCCTTAATCGACAGAACGAAAATCTCATTAACAGCAATACTGTTTCCAAAGATGCTCTAGCATTTGGAACCTCTACAATAAAAGGTGTTAAGAATGGACACCTTGATTCTCTCACAAGCTCGTTAACACCACGACGAAAACCCAAAACCCTGATGCCCTCTAGTCCCGCCGGTGATGTCGCTAACCGAAAGCGGAAATCGAGCGGTGCGTCACAGGGACGTCAACACAAGAGAAGTCGCAGCAGTGCATGAGAAATTTTTTGCATACATTTTGCATCCAATTCCTTCAGCTCGCGATCGCTCAATAATCATTCCTGAATAATGATTTATTACGATGATGGACGGCATGGCATCTTTTGACTGTCATTCCTGGCCTCAAATTTCTTTTTGTCTAATATTTTCCTTTGTACTTTGTATATCTAGCGTAACGATGGATGAATTGGCAATAGACAAAAGCATGGTCATCATATACAAAAGATTCATAGACTTCGGTTGTCCTACCAGGCATATATACCGTCTGTTGAAGTGGATGGTACATGATAAAAAGTTTTTGCTTTTTCCTCTTTTGTTTCCTTTTCAATCTGATCTTTCCTTGGAACCCACAGAGATTCTGCTTCAAATGGCGACAGATTTGCACGATTGGTTTTAAGTATGATATATGTTAGTCTGCAGAGGAAGCTCCAGTGGCTGTATCTTTTATCGAGGATAGATGTTGGGAGATGTTCAAAATCACGTCTAGGGGATTGAACTGTACTTTAGCAATAGTGTACACAATACGCGGTGAAACAAGTTCCCGAGTAGGGTTTGCTTGCAGCAGTATTTTATTCTATCTGCCATGGTTCTCTTCTCGAGCAATGTGTTATCAGCGCGGATTATGGATGGAGGAGATGTGTGGCGGGTATCAGTTCTCAGCGAAAGATTATGTAGTTAGCAGTAATTCAAAAACAAGTTAAACTTTTCCATCATTGCTAACGAATGATAACGTTGCGACGGGCTAGATGGCTTGCTAAGTAAAGGTAGAAGTAAAAGTATCTTGTTCCCTACGAACCTGCAACATTCAACCTCCACACTCATATCCAGTTATTTTCCTCTTCTCGTCTATTCTCGACTGCTTCTTTCCCCTTCCTGTTAACCTTCCACAACCAACGTCAAAATTGATTCCTACTCGCTGCCCTCACTCCCCCGCAACATTTCTACATCTTGCCCAACCATTTTTCAATCAACCACTTACATATTTCCCGTGGTTTTGACTTTCTGGACTTTATCAGACTGTCTATAACTAAAATATCTGTCAAGCTAATATAGGTATTTTAATTAAACGCCGGGCGATACTCATACAAGTACATCAGACCCGTTTTTGGCTGGAATATTGTTTATTCGCATGTATATCTGTCTTTTTCTTGGCGGAAACGGAGGTGATATCATACACTTCGATGATCAAGAAACGCGATACAAATTTGTATTACTTTCAACACGTTCATGGGAAAGCGTTGATTAATCACTACAGCCGCATTAAATACGAGTGTCCGTCATATCACTCGTAAAACTCTTCAACACTTCGTTTCAGTCCAATCAAGCCGGTTATAATATTCAACTTCATGGTCACACTTCAACAACATATACGAAGAACACATGAACTTGAAAGTCAAAAAGTAATTCGTGTAGGTACCAAAGTGAAGCTAAAGCAAAGTGAGCCAAGCAGGATAATTACAGAGAGAGAACCCAAAGGCCTTCATGCCACGGTCGGAAAACAGAATAGGAAACAAAACAAATAAAAATGCCAAACAAAGCAAAGTCAAAAAGTATGATACCTGGACAATTGATTGGGATTGCTGTCCATCCAGACTTTGATCCTTCTTAATCTTTCTACGCAAGACTCATCCACCTCGACGATTGTGCTTAGAGTTATCTTGGCTCTCTTTCTGAGTTGCAAAGTTCTACTGGGGAAGTCTTTGGTATCCAGTGTTCTTATCGTCATTTTGCTTCTTAGTCATGGACTCGCGAACACCGGTTAGGGAATACACAAAGACGAAGACTAAATTCATTAGCAAGATTACACGATCGCAAGTGGGAGGGGGACTTACAAAGTTCAACAAGAACGACAAAAGCGGCAACGGATGCCCAGTAATATTCCCATCCAGTCTTCTCATGATCGAAGAAGAAGTATGTGTATTTTCCCACAATGTACTTGCCAATAGCTGCCCAGCCAACATACACGAGAGAAAGTACAGCAAGAGCAAATACATGGTTCCAGACAGGCTGAAACATATTTAGCAGAATAAGTGAGACGGAATCAGAAAAACCTACGTCAGATCGTTTGATGCTGCTTAGGATGAAGAGCTCGAACAAAGCAAGGACGGAGTTGAAACCATACTTGCTGAAAATGAAAAAAGTCGTGAGCTTATCATGGAAAATTTGATCACCTAATTGTTGGTTAGTATTGAAGTGCGGTTTCATGAGAGGATTCTTACATGGAATCGATGCTTCATTCCGTGGAACAATGACTGCCCAATGGATGAAGGTAACGACATGGGGGAAAGCAAGAGTGGCCCAATGAAAGACACTGAACAAATACTTTTCGTTGGTGTTCGCAGTCTTGCGAGAAGGTGAGAGGAACTTTCTAGTAGAGGAAGAGATTTTTGAACAATTATTGTCGTTGCTATGCGGGTAGTAGAGATGCATGAAGGTCCAAATCTGTCGATGGGTAAAGATTAGCACTGAGTATTGCGAACGGATACCAATACAAGTCGCACAAGGGATTAAGAATGAATACTCACAAATGTAACCCAGGCATACAGAGTTTGCAAGCAGTACACGATATTTGAAAGATTGTAAATGACCAACCAGCCATTTTTGTTGATTTCAAGTTCGTAATGAAGGATCACAAGACTGGAAATCAAGAAGTATGCTGCAAGGGCTCCTCTGTACACAACGAGAGATTTCTGAGAGACGTTGAGCCATGGAGAGTGGCAAGCACGAAGAAAGATAGGCTGTGACTGAATTAGGACTTCCAATCAATGATGAATGGAATCGTTTTGACTTACATGATCATTCTTCTTATGACTCCCGCTTGGAAGCAATGCGGTGGACGAAGACATTGTAAGGGGATTGATTTGGTAGAAAAAGATAGAGGAAGCTCGATAGGTATAAGGCGAAAGACGAAAGTGACCAAAACGAGAATTGGATGAATGAATCAAGTAATGAAAACGACGGAGAAACACGATGCTTTGTAACGGACTGTGTTGTGGTGTGAGATGAAGAGCAAGAAAACGGAGGGGAAGAAGAAAGTAAACATGATATGAAGAAAAGTAGCATAGGGAAGTGTAGCACAGGAAGGAGTAAGTGAGGACCTGCACTTCCCGTTCTCAACGACACGAATGGCAGGTGCGAAGAGACACAACGACAAGAAAGAGGGCGTTGATCATCATGCAGCTTGGTGTGCAGTTCAAGTCCAAGGTCATAAGCCGCAGCTACTCAACTGTCTTGAGCATTTGGAACTGGTACATATTGATGTTGCGGGAAGCTTCCCTTCCTTCCCACTATCAAGATATTGCAGATTCCAAGAGAAGGGAGATAGACTCTGCTAGTAATGATACCTAGTAGACAGACACATGAGTCCCTGCCTCAAATTCATGGTAGTTATGCATACAATGCCATTTATATGAAAGATAGGTACAGCCTTAGGTACCTACCTAGTAATTACCTAGGTAGCTTCATCAAGCCTCCAATTCTCAATTGCTCCATCCACACCTTACCGGTATACCTACTAGCTATCCAAATGAAGACAATGAGATGAGACTGCCTCGACTACCCGGGCGGTAGGGGGATGCAGAACGCACGGACCAGTAACACGGACGAAGCATAAACCAAGCATAAACCAAGCATAAACCAAGCACAACTAATCCTTACATTCAGAAGGTGTCCTCATTTACAACTTCCAATTGTAAGAAATGTGTCCGTACCTTTGATCGCAATCATCATCACGAAACGGCTACCCGTCATTGTTGAATTGTCTCAAGACAATCAATCTACTGATTCTGACAGCTTGAGTTCCTACCAGATTTCACCTAGGAATTGCGCATTGCGACAATGCTTTCCTTCCTCCAGAACCCCCGCCAAGCAGCGGCTCAAGTGCTGAATTTCGCCCTCATTCTTTCTACGGCGTTTATGATGTGGAAAGGTCTGTCAGTAGCGTCAGATTCTCCATCGCCAATTGTTGTCGTATTGTCTGGCTCCATGGAACCTGCATTTCAGCGTGGAGATCTCTTATTCTTATGGAACCGGAATTTACTCGAAGAAACCAAGGTTGGAGAAATTGTGGTTTACAATGTCAAGGGAAAGGACATACCTATTGTGCATCGATTGGTTAGAAAGTTTGGCGCAGGGTGAGTGTCTCTATTTCACTGGCGCGGTGAAGTATCACGGACTTTCATGCTGATATTCGTGACTACAGGCCCAAAGCAAAGTTGTTGACAAAGGGTGACAACAATGTGGCAGATGATACAGAACTATATGCGCGTGGACAAGATTACATCGAGAGGGAAGATATCATTGGCAGTGTAGTGGGATACATACCATTTGTGGGATATGTTACTATCTTACTCAGCGAGCATCCTTGGCTTAAGACTGTTATGTTGGGAATGATGGGTTTGGTTGTGGTTCTACAGAGAGAATAACCAAGGGAATAGCTGATTTTAGGACGGCATTCAGAGAAAGAAGATACCCCCCAAGTTTACATGATCTGAAAGAGTCGACGCATATGCAATTGTGAGGATGATTTGCTGTCAACATTGTGAAAAAGATAGATATTAAGCTGGACTTATGAGGTGAAACTTGCGGATCTTGGAGAATATTGGAGTGTGCTACTCTGTATACTTTGGTGTGTGTCTACTAGGTATCTACTATCAACCAAGTTCCATTAGGTATTAGGTATGATTTGAATAATGGATAAAGACTAGATTTGGAAACTTCTACCTAGGTACCTTATTACAGGCGACTCTTCGCTGTAGAAACTCACACCCCTCTTGAAGCTTTTAACTTTCGCCGAGATTTATACAATAAAATACTTTTTGATCCAATACCTTACTAGTCAACATAATAATAATTCCGTAAAGGACCAGTAGCCTTCCGGCAAAATGTTCAGCCTTGCACTTTCCTTCCTCGGAACAACAGGGATGGAAATGCCGACTATCTTCAAGCTCTGATGTGAACCTTAAGTGAATTTGGTTGGGTTGCTTCATGATAGCTTTCTATGAAGTACTCTCACTCACCTCACATCAAACACTCAATAACAAAACGAAATAAATAATCTTATCAAAGCTCGCTTCTAGATTTCGTAACAAGTGTCAGAGATCGATATCTACTCCATTTCTTATAAGTAAGAAGCCTCAAATACTGATCTTATTCCTGTCATAATAACAAAGTAAATAGGATCTCAACTTCCACTTCATTTCTCGAATTACCTCCTCTCACATCAACATACCTACCCCACCATAATTTGCAGCTACCTTCGAAGCTATCAACCGTCGCGATGGCAGCACGACGTATCGCCAAGGTTCGCAACTCTTACTCTTGAAGCCAAATTGAAGCAGAGCATGACCTAACAGAATGTATGTTAGGAGTTCAAGGAAGTGACCGATAACCCCATCCCAGGCATCAGCACATCTTTAGTGAAGGAGGAAGATTTGCATCAATGGAAAGTCGAGATGGAAGGTCCTGCAGAAACACCATATGCCGTATGTTTTCTACCTACGCAGCTTCTCGTTCAACTCTTCACTAACACTTGGCACGTCAGGGTGGTTTATTTGTTCTCAACGTCGTCCTACCCAAAGACTACCCGTTCAAACCTCCCGTGGTCAATTTCGTCACCCGCATTTACCACCCCAACATTACCTTTGATGAAAAAGGATCAATTTGCGTCGATGAGTTGAAGCAAGACAAATGGAAGCCTAGTGGAAAGATCACAGCTATTCTTGGGGCGATCAGGAATCTTTTAATCACTCCAAACCCAGATGACCCTTTAGAAAACACGATTGCGGATAAACTGAAGAATGACGCGGACGGTTTTGCAAAGGAAGCGAAGGAAAATACAAAGAAATATGCCATGAAGAAATGAAGATTGGGCGGAAGTATGATTTAGGGGTAGCAAATCGGCGCTTTATGAAGGAAAGGATGGAGATTACATGATCCCGAAAGGGAAACGATATGAGATGAAGTCAAAGACATATGACGATGAATGACAGCGATTTTCAGCAGCGAGATGATTGGCATTGGCGTTTAAGGGTGCATAGAAGAAATTACTTTTACAGTATCAGACAGCCAAATAATCGGAAACAAAAATACATTGCTTTTCCGGGGAAGATGTTGCATGATTTAAGTGAGCTGAATTCGAAACGGATGAATCATCTCCAAACGTACATTTTTGAATCTCAACAACCCATTCTTTTCTTTTTTTCTCTCTTTCGCCATCTTTGCCCTTTTTCCAAATTGATTTTTTACGTTTTCTTCCGTCATGATACTAACTCCACTCTTTCGGAATAAATGACAAGAATTATCGACGGATGTGAGGAGAAATAAACGCTCATGCCTCCTCACTCTTCTGCTAGCATTGAGACGACGGGTAAAAGATCGGGAGGAGAAGAACTAGAGGGGAAAGGGGAGGCGAGGGTTGAGCGTTGTGAAAGATAAAGTCAAAGGGGATGAATTTGAAGGAGATGAATTTGAAGGAAATACATATGTAGTGATATGATTCGATGATATTTGATATGACAATAAGTTACCTGGGTAGCTATGAGATAGTTGTTGGTAGATGTGTAGTAGATGTGTAGTAGGTATGTAGGATACATCATCTAAATCTTCTCATCAGAATGTTGATTGTATTTTCCATATATTCCATGTTAGAGATAGATTAGAATAATTTCCATCAGTCTTCCTTACTAGCAAGCTTTATCTGACCCTCGAACCACATTAATAACGATTGGTTTGTGAATCATGACATATGTAGTATATCTTTTACATCTTTTACATATTTACTTTGTAACTTGATCTCGCTTGCTCCATCATCTCCCTTGAATTCCCTTCTCAGCTTTTATTAACGCTTTTCCACCGGACCACTTGCCCAAACACTCAGACATAATAATTCTTGGCTAAAGAATCTCAACCAGGATTATTGATGCAGCGGAACCCCCAAATTAAGATTAGGATCAATTTTACTTTTTTCTTTTACCCTTCGAGATGGGGATACTTTAGGAGTTGATTGATTGATGATAGAACGACGGATAGATGGGGATGGACTAATGGAAAATGGAATCAATTGAACGAATAGCAGTCTCGAGGCAGCCAAAGGAATTGAGAAAAAGCTCCTTTTGAATTGGGATTTATCGGCTAGTTCTTGGACATAGCGGTAACTACTTCGTACTAACTGGTCTGGATGGATGGATGGATGGATGGATGGATGGATGGATGGATGGATGGATGGGTGGATGGATGGGTGGATGGATGGGTGGATGGATGGATAGATGGATGGATAGATGGAACTGACGGACACTAGGTTTTCATATACATGTATCCCGAGTACAATAACAGACTTCAAGGTAAGAGGGAGGACCTACTCTGTATACCAGGGGAATCGTACTCGCAATACCAGCTAGAGAGCCACAACAAAGTCTAATGTACTGTCTCCTTGTTATAGATGCGAATTTAGCCAGTATCAATTCGAAGATATAATATAAAACCTGGAACGTAGGTATTAATCAAAATTGTACGGAGTGTTCTTATTACTTTAGATACTAAATACCAGGTATGTCTGTATCTCTCTGCATACCAACCTACTCTATGAATCTTTAATCTTCAATATCGATTTGCTTGAATTTTTTCTTCTTCTCTTTTTTTTTTTGCTTATTATTGTTATTATTATTATTATTACTATTACTATTATTGTCATTTACTTGCTTTGACCATTCCACGAAATAAAATGAATTGAACCAAAGATTTCGAATTCTTAAACCTTTCCTTTCTAATCCATCTAGGTTTCTAGGTTTCTATCTGTCTACCTGTACCACCCGCAGTTTATTCATATTTCATGTTCATACCTATTCATCTTCCATTCATTCTCCAATCTCCAATCTCCAATCTCCAATTTCAACATCAAACCTCCTTCTCCCCTTCGTTTCATTAGTGGAGCGAGAATTTCATACACATTCATTACTTTGGGTCTTTGCCTGTGTTTCAGTTGGAAAAGGGTGGATCGACCGACAACTCCGTACATACCATACACACATACCATACCATACCATGCCATACTACACCAGTTCTGAACACCAAGATACCAAGATACCATCAATTATTACTCAGGAGTAGTCATTCACTACCAAACCCTTTCTTTAAGCTTTTGTTCACTCAAAATACAATACGAGCGAAGTACAAGCAAGTAAATACTTCTACGACTGCGATTGCTACGACTTATTATACTACGACAGGAGATACATTTGATACCTACTTCATTACTTCACACTGCTCACACCTTCATCTTCATAAATTCAATTCCTCACTCACACCAATAATTACTTAATTAGTTAATTGATTAATTGATTAACTCATTAATTCAGTAATTCATTAATTCTTTGCTGGTTAATCCCTAATTATATCCACTTTCCTGCATAATCATTTCTATTCCTGTCCTTCACTTCACTTCACTTGAATCACTTCATACTCAACTCTCCATTCTCCATTTCCTATCCTCATACTTACTTCATACCCTCGTTAACTAAAATCCTTTCTCACATCTGAAACATTGGAGACACAAATTGAATTGCGAGGACAAGATACTGGGACATTTGGAACAACTCTGAACAATTGGACTTTCTTTGGAAATTGGAGATTCGAGAATATACGGAGTACTGGTACCCCCAAATTCCAACACCTCGATACTCGAAGGATCAACTTCGCCGAATGCCTGCCCCGACAATTACCATTCGCCATTCCACAACATAATTGTACTACCTGCAAGACAAGCCTCTTTCTTCGATAGAAAGAAAGAAGAGTAACCTCGGACAAAAGAATCTTCTTGCTTTGATGTTGACGATTTCAATTACTACAGGGTCCTTCCGAATAAGATCGGGGTCAAAAGGCCTGGGGCGAGGTGGTTCGATTGCTACTTGATATATATGGGGAGAGCTTAAAGGTTTAAATGGAATAGTCGCAATAAGGGGTTTACTAGTTTGGCCTTGATGATGAATATGGGAAATCGATACTATGGCGTTGAAACGTCTTCCCCCATTTCCAACAACATGGATAACAGGAGTCCGCATATGCAGATCAGACAACAACGAAGTCAGAAATTCAACCTATATCCAACAAGACCTCGGACTTCATCTAAAGCTTCCGAGTTATCTGTTAATACTTCTAGGTCTGGAAATCGCCCATTTCCATTTCCACCCAAGTCACCAACACCATCCGCCCGAGAACATTATTTGCCTATCAACCCCCTCGCTCAAAATCCTCCTGTTCCGCAACAAAGACCCTCAACATCGCATCATTCAGTATCTAATGAACCCTCCCGATCTTTAACTGCTCCACCGCAACAGAAGCTTCGACGAAAACCTTCAGAGGCTTCACGGTTGAGACAACTTAGTAACGTGCGATCGCATTCTTCCACTGGCAGACGTACCCCGGAAAAGGTAGTAGACAATTTCTCTAGACCACGACAGGCCAGTCTGCGGAAACGAAACGAGTCTCCTAGCCCTTTGATTAATGCCTCGACATTTCATGTAGAACCATCACAAGATGAGGAAACCATAAACAATGGATCAGTTTTCAGTACAAGAGATAGAGGATTTTCATCATCTTCTTCACAATCAGGCCAACAATTGCCTCCGCCTGCACCCGCACCTAGCCTGCGACCTTCTGCGTCAATCCCGGACTATCATACTGTAGATCTAAATAATGCGAGACAGCGCAATATCCCACAGGCAAATTTTAGGCCAAGAACAGGAATCAATAGACCCGACAGTAATAACTCATCCATATATCGACGAGAGCCCCCGATTCGACCAACAAACTTTGATGACGAGGAAGTTCGAGCAAGCTTCAGATCTGCTTTGACTACAAACTCGAGTTATTTTGGAACAAGTGGGACAGAGAGGAGCAGTGTATTGACGAAAAGTAGTTCACATACTTCTTTCTTTGGTGGTAAAGACGAAGGAATGAGTGTGGATGATGCAATTGGCATGTATGAAGGTGGCTTTCTGGACTCGGGGGTCGAAGATAATGATTTGGAGGAGAAGCTCCTGGAAATTGGTGCGGAAATCAGGCCCAGATCTGTATATCGACAGGAGTTCTTTGATGAAGACGACGAGTTTCGACCAATGACCCCAGATTCGGAGGGACGGCAATCGAAGTTGGAAGAGGCAATGGATGATTCTCTTGCTCCTCCTCCAACTCTCGACGCGTCGCAATTTTCAATTAGAGGTTCCACGGAGATATTCCACGGCAAAGCTTTTGAGGCACAAAGTGCCGCAGTTGCCCCTAATCTTACTTCAAGTGATTTTTCGGGGTCGAAAGAATTTGATGGTGCAGGAGCGTCTCATGAAACTCGGGACGAATACTTCGAACCGCACGCAGTAGTGCCACCGCCACCAACGACAATTGCATCAGACCCGGCTAGAGACAGGTATGGGTTTAAGAAAAAGACACAATACGTTTCTTTGGAAGAATATGAAGCTTGGAGTGGGCCTTATAATGAATACGTTGAGCGAAGGAGAAAGAAATGGGTGTTATTACTCAAGGATCACAGTCTGATTACCGACAAGCCAATTCGATTTCCACCAAAATCAGCAAAAGTCAAACGTTTCGTCCGCAAAGGGATACCGCCTGATTGGCGCGGCGAAGCCTGGTTTTGGTATGCAGGTGGTCCGGCTATGGTCGCTAAGCACTATGGAGTGTATGATAGCTTGGTGAAGCAAGCGGCTGCAGGGGCGGTTAATGAGACGGACGACGAGATTATTGAGCGGGATCTCAATCGCACGTTCCCGGATAATATCAGATTCAAGCCGGATCCTCCGCCTACTTCAGAAAAACGGAATAGCCAACCGAGTATAAAAGAGCCAGAAACCCCAATGTTGAAGTCGTTGCGGAGGGTATTGCAAGCTTTCAGTATCTATAACCCTAAAATAGGGTATTGTCAGAGTTTGAACTTTTTGGCGGGTTTGTTGTTGCTATTTATGGATGAAGAAAAGAGTTTTTGGATGTTGAATATCATCACGAGAGTTTATTTGCCAGGAACTCACGAGGTTAATCTAGAAGGCGCAAATGTTGACTTAGGAGTCTTGATGACAAGTATCAAAGAATCAATGCCGGCTATCTGGGCAAAGATTGGAGGAGAACTTGACGGTACGGCAGGAGATGGCAGGCTTTCCATGCGTCTTCCACCCATTACATTATGTACCACAGCTTGGTTTATGTCATGCTTTATTGGCACTCTTCCAATCGAAACTACCCTTCGCGTCTGGGACAGCTTTTTCTTTGAAGGATCAAAGACCCTTTTCCGCATCGCATTAGCAATTTTTAAGGTAGGAGAACAGGAAATCAGGGCTGTTTCCGATCCAATGGAAATTTTTCAAGTCGTACAAACCATTCCTCGAAGACTTGTCGATGCCAATGGACTTATGGACGCATGCTTCCGACGAAGAAATGGTTTCGGACATATCAGCCAGGAGACCATTGAGGCACGAAGAGCAGAACGCAGGAAAGGCTACGCGGAAGAAAGAGCAATTGCAAATGGGGAAATACCACCCAAGAGAGGTGGAACCTTCTTTTCCAAGAAGAAAACCAAGAGTGCAGAGAATTAAGAGACAATGTTTACTGAGACAGGCGTATGTCCTAGGGAGTAATTGGGGAATGTATACCTAACATATGGTGTTTGGTGGGATTGTGAGATTTTTGAGGCGTCACTGGCTTTTTATTTTTTCATTTGTGTGTGTGGGAAAAAGAGAATTTGGAATCTGGGCCCCTTTTCTTTGCGTTTTATTACGATGATTATGAGGTAGCATTTATATGGGGGTATATACAAATATGGAGGGACTTTAGAAAGATTTTTTTTGCGTTGGTACTACTGTATATTAAATTTGAACTTCTTGATAGGATTGTAGGGGGTTTTGGGATTTGACTGGGCTGGGCCGAGAAAGGGGGAGGGAGGCAAGAAGGATGATTTTGAAAGCATGGGGAGATTAGATAAGTGTAGTAGGTATGCAAATAAAGATAGTACGTGTGTTGGCATTGAAGTTGTTTGAAGATATATAAATTTTATAGTGACTTGATGCTTCTTTGGTCTATCCAGTTACTCACATAATTGAATGACGCTCCGTTGGCCTTGGGGAGTCACTGCCGTGGGGGCACAATCTTAGGATAGGTACTCGTAGAAAGATGAAACGTACTCATCTAGGTAGGGAGGTAGACTGTAGTACATTTGATACAGTTTCATCATTCACTCCCTCGCATATGCATGGATACAAAGCAGAGGGAGGCATTGCCAGGGGTAAAACAATGCCGGGAAATTCCACATTGCCTAGGTATTCGCGGTTACCCTGACAACACTCTACCCCAGATTTACCTATACCCAGCACATCAAATAATCTTCCCGCGACTTTTTAAACCTCCTTCATTTGATGCGCGAAAGAAACAACACTTTTTCCAACTTCTACCAATCATGGAATCGCCGACTGCAATAAACTCAACATCTTCATTATTCGAAGTATATTTACGATTAAGGCCTCCTCCAATATCAACGCAACAATTGTACCCCACTTTACCAATACCAGAGCGCTTTCTTACAGTTGAAGAACCCACTGAAGAAGAACTCGAAGATGGAACGGCTTCTCCGACCCACATTACATTGAATCCACCAAATGATAACAGACGCAGGGCAGTGGAGAGATTCGCCTTCACTCGGGTCTTTGAAGAAGAAAGTACACAATTGGACGTGTTTCAAGGAACCGGTGTGCTGCCTTTGGTAGAAGGTGTATTGGGACCAGATGGTGGAGAGGGTAGAGATGGATTACTTGCTACATTGGGAGTCACTGGCTCTGGAAAGGTTGATATCTTGATTTGATCATGTATAGACTGAGTGTGTGCTAATGTGTCTATCGCAGAGTCATACAATTCTTGGTTCTCGAAGTCAGCGCGGTCTCACACAACTTGCGCTCGATTTACTGTTTCGTTCCATTGACAACAACATTCTCGATGTCAATTCACACCCTGGATTACATGGTTCAATTGCAGCATCAGATCCATCAGAGGCCCAAGTTATGTCTGCGCAGATGTTTTTAGATACATATTACTTCGACCCAGCTTCATCTCGAGGAAGCTCCAGAGCTCCAACACCCCAGGTGGTACGCGTGCCCATTCCCTACCACCCAAGTCCAGCCAAATTATATCCATATTTGCCCCCGTTCCAGGCAACAGGAAGTCCTAAGAGCATCAGGATCGTAGTCAACCAAGATGATAGTAAAACACCAGGATGTGCGCCAGTGCCAATTCCAGGAGAATCGACAGTATCGATGACTTCCTTTATTCCCTCATTTATGCAAGCTACTGCAACAGCAGCCAGGAAAATGATTAGTGCTAAAACTCCTCAAAAGGGCGATTCTTACCAACCTCCGAGACGAACGATACCCACAAGACCATCGGCTTTGCCAAGTAGTCCGGATATTACAGGAATTACGGTTGATGTCGATCATCATGCGGAGTATGCGATTCTGATCTCGATGTACGAAGTTTACAATGATAGGATATTCGATCTTTTAACGCCAGCGGCACTAAGCAAATCTACAAAGGAATCTAGAAGAAGGCCGCTACTGTTTAAACCTACGGAGCAATCACCCGAACGAAAAGTGGTTGCTGGACTAAGAAAAGTTATCTGTGGTAGCATGAAAGATGCTCTCATGGTTTTGGAAGCTGGTCTCAATGAACGAAGAGTTGCGGGGACAAATTCTAACAGTACATCATCTAGGTCTCATGGCTTTTTCTGTGTCGAGGTAAAGAAGAGGAGAAGATCGAGAACGCCAGGCACTTGGGGAGGAAGTTCACTTACAGTTGTAGATTTGGCTGGAAGTGAAAGAGCTAGAGAAGCCAAGACCGCCGGTGCTACATTAGCTGAGGCTGGAAAGATTAATGAGAGTTTGATGTATCTAGGACAGTGTTTGCAGATGCAATCAGATTTGGAAAGTAACACAAAGGTACGTTGAATTCACTCTTTATGTCTATCTAAGACTTCAAGATTTAACCAAAAGAAAACAGCCAAATCTTGTTCCATTTCGCCAATGTAAACTCACCGAACTTCTTTTCTCAAACTCGTTCCCATCTCATGGCGCAAAACCACCTTCTACAGCCACCCACCATCATCGCAATCTTCAAAAAGCAATCATGATCGTTACGGCTGATCCATTGGGAGACTTTAATGCAACTTCGCAAATCCTGCGGTACTCGGCTTTGGCGAAAGAGATCACGGTTCCAAGAATTCCATCAATCACAGCTACTATTCTCGGATCATCTCAATCGTCTAATAGACATCCAAGTTACACCAGCCCTACTTCTCCTACTTTCTCTCGATACCGCGATGGTCCACATCAGACACCTACCGATACAGAACGAGAAACCATGGAAATCGCGGCATTAGAAATCGCACGCATGTCTGAGGAAATCGATGGTCTACGCAATGAATTGGAACGCGAGTCAAGATTAAGAATGGAAAGTGAAGCACATCTCCAAAGTATGGAAGACAGAATGTTGGAACTAGAGATGGAAATTCGAGAAGAATGCTACGAGGAAATGGAAAAGAGAATCCAAGAAGAAGGTAGAAAGTGGATGATAAGATTAGAGGAGCATGGAGAGAGGGAAGAGGAATGGAGGGATAGAAAGGTGGAAGTCGTGGTTCGAGGTTTAGGTGCAGGCATTGTTGGGATTGCTGGAGATGAAAATAAAGAAAACCAGGACGGAGACCCAACGCTCGGACTCGAAATGGAAAACGCAAAGTTGTTGAGGGAAGTTGAGAGATTGAAGAGAGAGTTGAATAGCAGAAGTCCGACAAAACCTCGAAAGCCTTCAAACAGGATCCTGAAGGAGAGCCGAACACATGCTATGGATAAATCAGCATCGCCAATTCCAGATGACACCCTTGAGAATGAGGGACTGGAATTGCGGGACAGTATGGCGAGATTGAAGGTTGAGGATGACGAGGTTGGAGTCGCCAGAAGTGCGAGTGCGAGATTAAGGATTAAAAAGAGAGATGTAGGTCCAGGAAGTCCGACTAAGAGAGTTAGAAAACTGGCGCCGAGGAAGTGGGATTTTGCTGATGAAGATGATTTTTAATTGCGGTTGGAGTAAATGGAATAGGATAGCACATGGAGGATTATGGCCTGGCTTTGTCTGGGATGGTTTGTACAATCAGTCAATCAATTAACGGAGTTTTCTCTTTGAGGGAGATCAATGAATCTGGATAGCATGTCCTGGGCTGGACTAGATTGGGGTTGGGGCTGAATGATAATATTGGATTGGATGCATGGGACCGGGTGGGGACTGGAATGGATAGAATGGAATAATCCTCCTGGCCAAGAATTGTTTTCGATACCTGTCTGGGATTTGTTTTTGGTACTTACTTCTTATGTAATATGATAGCTAATTCTAATTCGAATATGATCCTTTTTGAGATGGTCGTTGGGTTGAGAGAATTTATGGTGCGAGGTGAATTAGATCGGCAATTTTATGGAGCCCAGCCCTTGATGATCCAAGTGGATAAACAGGATTATTGAGAATCGATAGAAACCTGAGAGATGAACATATCAGGTATTTGTGGAAGATTTAACTTAGTAAAGAGCTGCAGGTAGGATGGGGGGGAGCTAGATCTCCATACACAAGTGATCTTACTTTAAGATGGGAATAGAAATTCTGTACACTAAGTTGATGGGAAGAGTGTGAAAGTTTTACACTCTACCTTTTCAGGAGCGGGTTAGAAAAGAGCTATCGGTAACAAATATGCTGGATCGGGTTGGCGATGACCTGCGGAGGGAGTGAGAGGTGAAGTTTTACGTACTTCTACCATATCATAGCAATTGATGCTTGGATGATGGGACTGATCAATGGGTTGGGAGATGTTGATTAGTTGTCTAGAGCCATGCGGAAGTGAGGACGTAGGAGAATGCTCGGAGGGTGTATATACAGTATCATATTGGATTACACAGTGAGCTGATAGATCAACCTTAGAGTAGGATATGAAAAACTAGGATATACCAGCGCTTGGTCTTTTCCTATAATCTGCGAGAGTTGAACTGTTACATTCGTTTGAAGCTTTAGATTCTTTGAAACTTTTAATTTCGAGACTTTGCAGGCTGCAGTGGCATTTGAGGTTGTGAGAAGGGACTGAAGCTTTTCTCTCGCCTTTTGTCTATCTTATATTGAGTTTGATATTTTTCGATGGTGTCATACTGAGACGAACGCGGTGCGGTTAGAAATGGAGGGCTGAGTTTCCTTGCTCATCGCGATTCCCCGTAACTTGTATCGCATGACTGTAAGGCGGAATTGCTAGATCAGACTCAACATGGTCAGGGATGCGATACGTTGCGCCCGTATTATTAAGACAATCCCTCATGAACGTATTGCGGGATTACACTCAACAATTTGAATATCTTCTCTTCCACATTATATGTCGCGCCAGTCTTTGGGGATTGCGGGACTTTGAATTGTCCGCGTTTTTTGCGTTCTCCGAAAACTTGTCAGATCTTTAATCGATTTCAAATCAAGTGCGTATGCTCGTTTATTTTGGTTAGGAGGCCTTCCATAAATTTTTCCGAATTTACTCTTCAAATTATAACTACATCCGAATATTTGTGCCTCAATTACGAATACTATTGAAAAAAAATCTTTGAAACTTCACAATTTCAGTTTTAACATTGATCTATCCTTGATTACTTGATTTTGGATTCACTCAGCTTGATATCTTCATTCTGAGAACAAAATAGCTGGTTTAGTAAATTCGGTTATATTCTCGCCCAGACCACTAGGTAGCTCTAACGGAACAAGTACAACTAAAATTTCTCTATCCAGCTTGCCAAAGATGTCTTCTCCGCTCAAAAATGTCATTATAGTTGGGGCAGCCGGTAGGTTGGGTACCTCGATCCTCGCTACTTTCGACGCCGACCTCAACTTCAATATTTCTATCCTCTCTCGCAAGTCCTCTAAATCCGTTTTCCCAGCTCGTCTCGTTGTTCATCGGTTCAGTGACGAGTACCCAGAAGATGAGCTTTTGGAAGCGTTAAAAGGACAAGGTGTAGTCATCTCAACAATTGCGACCGCTGCTGCTGATGTGTAGCAAGGCAATTATAGATGCAGCTATCAAAGCCGGTGTGAAACGCTTTGTACCGTCTGAGTTTGGAAGTGATACGAGAAATGAAAAGGGGATGGAGATTATCCCGCAGTATTTTAAGCATAAACTGGACACTGTGGAATATTTGAAGGGAAAAGAAATGGAAGGATTGACTTGGTCTGCGTTTGTCACTGGTCCATTCTTTGAATTGTATGTGGGAGATGAATTTCTTTCCCTCCTTTGTGTAAACTGAAGCTGATTATTTTGGATATAGGGCTGTGAAACTTTTCATGGGCTTTGACTTATAACAACATAAAGCTATTATCTACAACGAAGGTAAAGATGCCTATTCAACCACAACAATAGCCTCCATCGGCACCGCTCTCAAAAACAAACTTCTCCATCCAGAAGAAACCGCCAATAAGCATCTTTTTATCTCCAGTTTTCATGTTTCGCAAAACCAAATCCTCGCTTCCCTCAAAAGGACGACGGGTAAAAAGTGGGATGTTACATATGTTGATGCGGAAGAGCAGAAGAAAATTGGAATGGAGAAGATGGCAAAGGGGGATTTTAGTGGTGCGATGGGGTTGATTAGATATACTAATTCTGTGAAGGGACATGGTGGGTATTATGCGGGGTATGAGGAGATGTCGAATGAGTTACTGGGGGTGCAGGGAGAGGATTTGGATGAGGTTGTAAGGGAGATTGTGAAAGGTTGAGCTTGAGTGAGATGGGAGGATGGAGTCTTGATTGTAGATTTCGGTCTTCTGTAGATGGGGCTTAAGACGAGAAGTCTTGCATGTGCATTTGAAGATTACTTCTGGTCGTAGTTCCTTCTGGTCAATACTGAATCAAAACCTTGCACTTGAAGAACTAAGAATTCAAGACAACATTGGTAATTATGCTTCAATTTATAGCTAAACATACCTAAACAAATGCATCAGATTCTCTTTTGGTCTGTGGTAGAATGATCTAGGTTGATCGATAGACAGACAGTACACGCATGGATAGCACCTACGCGCAAAATTCTGACACCTCACTTGTAACCCTTACCATCCAATCGCGTTCGGACAATTGCCTACCTTTCGGGTTGTAGTAATATTGGAAAAGAAGTTTCATCTGCTTTTGGAACATCGAGGATATGTGGTCCATTTCCAAACCAGCCACGAGGGTCCTCGATAGCGCGGGCGCAGTTTCCGAAGCACATCTTAATCCTCTCAAATCTTTGTAAATCCCCTTCATATGTACACTTTTGTTCATGATCAACCCAAATAAGCCAGCGGACCGTTGAGAAATACGACTACCATCTTCAGGTATATTCGGTTGACTTTCTCCTTTCTTATTATCATCAGGTTAATGAGCCACAATCGATCATCTGCGACCACAAGAATGTTTTCCAGGCTCACATTACCCCATACAATCCCTACAGAATGTAGCTCCTAGACAAGTCCTTTAATTTCTATAGCCCATCGGTAACGGTCTTCATCCGGGTAGGTGTCAGAAGGTGCTAGCTTTTCGAGAGTGCCTTAGTTTTCGATGTACGTGAAGAGAACACCAAATATGAAAGATTGTTTCAAGACCTTGTAATCCGAATCATCGTCCGCTACGAGATCTTCATAGCCGGAGCTGTTCTCATTAGGAACACCTTCTGGGTCCCATTTTATTGATTCCTCCTTACAAAGACGAATTTGAGGTATCTCATTGATAATCATACTGTGAAGGCGAAAGATTGGTACGTCGTTCCGGAGTTTCTTGGACTCGATAGCAGCAGAAATCCGTTTGTGTATCCACGGCTTGCCTACCAACTTTGGGTATGATATAGTCCCAACGCTTAAATTAGCATATGGTGCCATCTCCATCGGTGGCTTTGCCTGGACCGCAAAGGGTTGGATGTTCGTTTGGGTCTGAAGGGATGGGTAGAAGACGGACTTCACATGAAATAGAACATTTGTTATACTTCATATAGCGATTCCAAAATTTTATAAGAACTGAGTGGCCGCAATAGGCGCATATTCCAGGCAATTGCCCTTGAAAATAAGGCTTGATCACTAAACTATCATGGGTCTCTGCTGTTGCTTCGAGAGCTAGGTGTGGCATCTAAAGATAGTCGGATAGACAATCGATTGATGATGTTGGATTCGGAACTAACGAACTAATAAGTTCTCGAAATGGTTCCAAAAGACGACTAATCTCACTTGCATGTCCCAATTCATCAACGCCTCTCTCCCACGCCTGTTTTACGAGACTGGGGGATTTATCGTATTGTGCCAAAAAGATATGGTGATATAGCTACTGGAGCTGAACCATAAACGATGTTAAAAGAAGCACCAAAATAGCGCATTGTGATTCTGACGATCTTGTCGTCGTCAGGGGATCTCCAGCCACAAATGTGACTTCCTTGAGAATGAATATTTTCACCATGACTACTTCTGTGGGAAATAAGTCCGTGAACTTGGGATTGAGAAGTGGGTTCGCCGACCCTTCTTTTAAGGACCAAAATGGCTGCTATATATATACCCATCCATTCAAGCAGATTTGGCACACCCAGATATTTTGAATACGGTAAATGGAAATCTTACGGCAACTTGGAAAAGCCGAACACCACTTCTACCTGCAACTAGGCAAGCTGCAACGGAGCATGCGAGCGTCATAACGATTACAAAGAAGATTGCTCGCTAGTAAGAGTGTATGAGAAGCTGTCAAACATTGGAACATTTGAAGATATATTCTTCTCCGGTTTAAATCCTTTTTCAATAATGCAAGACCAAATAGTGATCAAATGGGCCAAGATGAAGGGGTTTCCAATAACCCTTTTCTTTTGAAGCATGACAGCCTCATCTTGCCACCGTCCCTTGATGATTCATTTTACACCTACAGAACTACATTTGTATATGAACTACTCGGCGAAATAATTAAAGATGCATAGTATAAACTAAAAACATTTATAACTTCAATGTTTTTGAATTTAATAAGCTATAATTGATATATATAATTAATGAATATAATAATTATAATATATAAAAGTTTCTAAAAAATTAAAATTAAAATGATTGAAATAAAAGCAATTGAACCTATTAAATTGACTCCAAAAGTGTTTATTTTTGAATACTTTTTCGAAAATTAACGTGTTTCCAAGCTACTTTCGAATGTTTTCGAACTTTCGTCTTGAAATTTTCAATTCAATTAATAAGGAATTAGAGTATTTAAAACTTATACTAATTATAAAATCAATTATTCGCTATCATTTAATCAAATTTTCGATTGAATTGGATTCCATTTAATGAAGGTATTATATATAACGTGGTTTATTAGTGAGCAGGTTATATTAATAAACAGGTCACTTGAAAATACACTAAAATTAAACATTTTTTTAATAATTAATCATTATTTTGAAAAGAGAAAAGAATTTTCAATAACAATAAAAAATTAGCTTTTTATAAATCTAGTTTTTTTATAAATATTTCTATTATATTCTAAAAAAAAGTAGAAATTGTTATGATTTTCGTTATAAAAAAGTTATTTTTATAATAACTATTATAATAATTTAATTTTTTAATAAATAATTAGATTTTTATGATTTTTATATAATTAAATTTCAATATTTTCAAATTTCTTTAAATTATATTATTATTTAAAGAAAGTGCATGATTATATACAAACGAATTTTATATATAAAATGAGTGACCTGTTTATTCATATGACCTGCTCACTGATAAACCACATTAGGTTGAAGTTGGAAAATATAATCATTAGGTGTTTTTGTTAAAGCATTGAAATTTAAGGTTTTGGAAACACGTTATTAAATCGGGTATAAGGCTCGGTACTTGTAGACACCAACATGTAATTAAGAGGTAGAGGGTTCTAGACCAGCTAGTAGCGAGTTACCGACGATCCCCTATATGCTATCATGGTCGACCACCATGTACGTATCTTGTGGTAGGTTCTCTCTACACCAATAACTGACGAGATCATCATTCTTCCAAATGATGACACCAACCTACAAAGTAATGGTTTGAACTGACTTCTTCAATAGATGTTTATTTTTGTCAATCCAATGAAGAATGTCCAAACTGATGCTCCGACCAAACAGAAGTCCCAATACCATTCCGAAGTGCCGTCAATACTGCAACTTGATGGTGGCTGTACCACAATTACATCGACACGCGACCGGGAGACATCAAACACGGGCCCTCTCGCGAAAGTCTATTATATCTGCAGTGACTATTGACGGATTCGTGCAGATCAGGCAACGGCAAAATGCAACACAACTCGGGAAACTTTCCTAAAAATTCGTAGGAAACAGGTGACTAATAACAGGGCATATCCCATTGCGGAGTCAAGGAGCGACGATCTGAGCCTTGGAATCTATTCCTGGAGTTCATTCATGATACCAATGCTCATTATTGGCCTCGCTAGCCTCGGTACATGACAGTCGACGAAGATTAGAAATCATAGTCCCATGTGACCTCTGAGTAGTACGTATCCTTTGAGAGCGGGCGTAGTCAGTTCTTGCCTTCTACTTCTATCATCATACTCGGTTACAATTAGCTTTTAGATAGTGCCCCCCGCTACCCCACGGAAATAACTTATTCATGGGGGCTAGGTGTTACCCCGCACCACTGCGGATTTACATCCGCGGTGATCTCGTTACTTCTTCCACTCTTATAGCTGATTAATGCAGTGATTTTATGGTGTTGTTGTTTCAGATTAGTTCTTCATGTTGACAACATACTAATCATCTTCAATTCTGTAATCCTTAGCATGCGCGGCACGTTGTGATGTGAATCCCCATTTGTCCGATCGTACTTTAGTTTACTCCTCAAATGGCTTGGAATTTCAAAAGCTGAGCCCATCTGTCCGAGGATGCATTGCTCCTCAAATGGCTTAAGAATCTGAGCTGTGGGTAGCAGCGCATTGGAACATTCGGAGTGCCATCAAGGACGGAATACAACACTGCCCTCTACCCTCCATGCCAAATTAGAACCTTGATTCTTTCACATTCAGCTTCTATTCATTGAGTTTGATATATAACAGCTAGCCAGCCACTTCAAATTATCCTTTCAGATTTTCATACATAAAGATCGAGGTCGCCTTCGATCTTGATATTCCTGATAGTCATTTTTCACCAACAAGCGCGTAAGCAATTAATTATGGGCTCATTACAGATTGAAGAAGTAGATGTGCTGCTAGTAGGAGCTGGATTCGGCTCTTTTACTATGCTAAATAAGTAGGTCCAAGTCTGAAATCGAATGGCTAGTCACTGATAAGTCAACAAGGCTTCGGAAGCAAGGACTCAATTGTAAGATTTACGAGAAAGGTTCGAAGAGTGGAGGTATTTGGTATTGGAATTGTTATGTATGTTTGTGTACATAATACATGGCTCTAAAGCTAATACACAATAGCCCGGCGCTCGAGTCGATTCTGATGCCCCAATTTATCAATTATTCGACAAAGAGTTATGGGAGGACTTTACATTCAAAGAGAAATTTCCTGGTGGCAGCGAGATCCGTCGATACTTTGAACACGTTGAGAAGAAATGGGATGTTCGGAAAGACCTTGAATTTGACAAGCATGTCGACGGAGCTACCTTCGACAAGCAACGCAATCAATGGCTTGTAGAATGCTCAGATGGCTCTGAAATATATTGCCGATGGTTCATTCCTTGTATAGGATTTGCCTCTCGTCGTTTTACTCCGCCGTTCAACGGACTCAGTAATTTCAAAGGAGACATATATCACACAGCAACATGGCCTCAACATGGTGTTAATCTCAAAAACAAACGAGTTGGTCAAATCGGAACTGGAGCAACTGGTATCCAGGTGATACAAACCATTGGACCCGTTGTTAATCATCTTACCGTATATCAACGAACACCCAACTACGCCTTACCAATGAATCAAGGACTTCTTGACCCAGAAGAAGAAGCAAGAAAAAAGGCCGAGGGCAAGTATGAAGAAGAATTTGAGAAAACACGGCACACATTCGCTGGCTTCCCATATACCTTTCTAGAAAAAAACACTTTCGATGATACACCAGAAGAACGGGAAGCCACGTTCCATGACCTACTGATCAATAAAGGCGGTTTCCGTTTCTGGCTCAACAACTACAAAGACATACTTTTTGAGCAAGACGCAAATGACGAAGCCTACAACTTTTGGCGCAAATCAGTGCTCAAACGAATTTCCGACCCCAAAAAACAGAAGCTCTTGGCACCAGAGATTCCACCTCATCCATGGGGAACCAAACGCCCCTCTCTAGAACAAAACATTTATGAAGTTTTCTCTCTGCCACACATTGATATTATCGATGTAAACGAATCGCCCATCTTAGAAGTTAGTGAAAAGGGTATCAAAACCAAAGAAGGAGAGGTAGAATTCGACGTTTTAATTCTCGCCACTGGGTTCGACTCTTGTACTGGATCGCTTGCTCAGCTCAATATTCAAGGCATAGACGGTACTACCATTGCGCAGAAATGGAAAGATGGAACACGGACAGCTATGGGTATTGCAATGAATAACTTCCCCAATATGTTCTTCCTCTACGGGCCTCAAGCACCTACTGCGTTCTCGAACGGACCGAGCTGTACGCAATTCCAAGCGGAATACCTTGCGGATACGATAAAAGGATTAAACGAGAAAAATTTAACTTACTTTGAGGCAAAGAGTGAAGCGGAGGAGGATTGGAATAGGAGGATGAGTGAAGCTTGGAATAAATCTTTGTTTCCGCTGGCAAAGAGCTGGTATCAGGGGGCAAACATTCCTGGAAGGAGAGTTGAACCGCTCAACTGGTAAGTTACTCACCCATATTTTCCTATTTCCCTTTGTGGATGTTAACATTATCATAGGGCGGGCGGTATGCCAGAGTACACAGCAACATTAGCGAAAAGTAATGAGAATGACTATCAGGGCTGGATCGTAGCATAGGACTTAGCAATTACTGTTGAGCAATCGGACGTGTGGGCACTCATCTGAGACGTATAATCAATTGACGGGCAGGACGTTTGGACAATTTTGTGTATTGTACAGGAATTTGTCTTTCGGTTTCCTTTTGGAAATTTGTTACTTACCTCTTTATGTGGAGTTGCCTATTTATGAGGTATAAAGTCTCTTTCACAATATGCGTGTATTTGTGCATAATAGGCCCTTCCCAAGTGTGTTTTCCTAGGTATACTTGACATGAAGAGTCGACATTCAGTTCAGCAACTTCAGGCTTGATGGAGGACAGCCTCTGAGCTCCCTGAGCAGGCGCCAACAACCATTCACATAGGCTACAGCATGGTCAGGAATTGGAACCTTGATGCACGTTATTCGCAATTTTCAGTTCGCACGCTTTATAAAAAGGAAGTCCTCGGAGCACGTCGCTTTTCGATCTAATTAATGTTGATATTAAAGACGAACAGTAGAGGGTTGCGATTTGACAAGAGCACCTTTTGTTTGATGATGGAATATAGCTAAAATTGGGTTATTGATGATGGAAACAAATAAACACGTGACAAAGCCCCGCGTGCATGTGACTAGGCTTTATTGGGACAGCGAAGTCGGGAAATTCAGCCTATGATAGGCATCCCAAAGACGTTACACATAACAACGAATGAAGTCATCGCGATATGAACTTGAGGCTGAGGAGCATTGAGTAGAACGAATCAAATGTAAAAGACATTTTGATCCTTACCACTTGAATCTCAATTGGACTGACCGAGTATCACGTGGCATACACCTTGGTTGCCTGCCAAGAGAATGTTTGGCCGCAGTATATATTGAGGCCTCTTCGCGCCCTCGCGACCTCTTTTTCCTTTCCTTACCACACCATTCGGGTCGACTACCAACACTCAAGAATCTCAATACTGTCACTTAGTACAATTTTGAGATTTCTTCCGAGACCCTGTCAAGCTTTCGTTTTGTGTGTCAATTCAATCACCTTTCTCTCCCTACCCTCACATCCAAATACTAATTTCGACACTCATCCAATTACCCCCCCCCAAGTCCATATATCGATCAATTCACAATACACCCGAAGCAGCCATGTTCAAGCGTTCCCATAGATCAAATGATCGTGTAGAAAAGAACATCAAATCAAAGAAATCATATAGGGATCCCGCAAAATTGTCGAAATTGCAGAAGTCGTTCGATCAAAGCTCGCAAAGCTCACCCAATGCGAGGTAAGGCAGGCTGATCATGTTGTTGAATATGAATCCGGGCTTGAGTCGAATTTAAACTGATGGGACATCACTATAGTAGCTTGACCTCACCAATTGTAACATTTACAATCGGCAAGGAAGGACGACTGTTTGCGGCGCATGAAGATGTGCTTTCCTTTTCTCCGTACTTTGCGACGGCAATGAGAGGACAATTCTTCGAGGCGCAGAGTAAGAGGATCACTTTACCCGATGAAGAACCTGAAATCTTCTCCTGTGTTCTCGAATACCTTTACGTATGTTTACCGATGACGTAAAATATACGGTGGCCATCTCGGTGGTACTGACAAGTTTACAGAAGGGTGACTACTATCCACGTTTGATTCACCACAAACGCCGAAACTCTTGGGAGCTTGAGGATGCAGATCATTCACCCAATCCCGAAAATATAGGTGGCCGCGGGTCGGTAGAGGCTACAAGCTATATATCCAGCGTGGGAGAACATCTTTTAAAGGATACTGTCATATACTGCGCTGCGGAGAAGTATGGTCTCGAGGAACTCAAACGCGTTGCTCTTCGGAAGCAAGGTTTACAGAGTGGAATTGAGGTTGCTACAATTCTTCGCAGTGCTCGGTATGCTTATGACAACACGCCAGACACGGACTCTAGGCTACGCGCTCATTATCTTGCCTTGATTATCAGATGTCGTAAGACATTTAAGAGGAGCGGAACCATGCAGACAGAAATGGAGAGTGGCGGTAAACTTTTTTTTGACCTTTTCGTGGCATTATGCAATCATGTGGATGACATTGTGGATATTGGGTTAGCCACTTCCCCCCTTCTCCATGAACTACTGACCTACTCTCTCACAGGTTTACTGACTTCTAAGTTAGAAATTCCAAATCTCCAAAAACCATCTGAAGTGTTGCATGTTCCATGTTAGGTATTTCGGCACGGCGTCAATTGTTTTTGAGATTGATCATATATCTCCATCAAATTTGGTACCCATTTCGGAGATTTTTGCGATGCTTGCACAAAATTCCTCCGCCTCGATATAGAGGTTGGCCACCTTTTTGATGATACACGAGATTAATTTTCTATCCTTTTCTCAGTCATACCCCTTACTATCTCGCTTCGATGTTGTTCTTTTTAGCGGAAGGAACTCGCGTTTGCTTTTTCTTTGCTTTCTGTACTGTTTTGCTATCAACCTTCACAAATTGCTTAACTTACTCTGTGGGTATGTTACTCGTTGCGTTTGGAATTGAAAAGGAAATGGTATAGATGGATCTACTGGTCGGGCGACTTCTTCGCACCACTTTTTCTTATTTCTGTTGGGATGCATGGAGATGCTGTAGCTTTAGTTATGTGCATGATCTTGATGATTGTGTATGAGCGGTCCCTAGTGGATGCGTTAGCCTAGGCCCTCGTCAGGGCAATATAATGAGAGATTTGGCCACCTCAATCGTAAACTCTAAATGCGAGAAGTAATTGCTTCAAACTCTATTGGTCCTGCCTTTGCCCTGCTTTTTCGTACAAAGCTTGCAATCGTTTGTTTCACCTTGGTGGTGAGTATGATGTTTTCACGGGATTCAATTGAGAGTGTATGGAATAGGCAATGATACCAATTGCTTCGAAAGCCATGTATGGTCATGTGCACATTCATTTGCATCACCAATCTGCCAATCGGGAGGGCGCCATCAAGGTGGTAGATTATGGTCCAAACATTGACCTTATCTGTGGGTCCTGGAATGTCGGGCCGTCAAGCGATGAGAAGCTGAACTTTCAAAAACGTACGTCACTGTCAATCATGTCATGTTTGTATACGTACATCTGCTAGAAGTATTTCTGTGATAAAAGATTCTGCTTTTTGAAACAACGAACATATTGAGTTTAAGTAAAAACGTTGCCACTTACGACCATAGACTGAAGAGAATTGGGCATCCCGTCCGCTCTGCCATACACAAGCTTCAGATCGGTGGATTAGTAGTTGGGCGGGTGACCACCAGCGAATCCCCACTGTTGTATGTTTTTGTTTTTGCTCCTCCCTGAAAGAGTGGCAACATCATGTCCCAGACGCAGACCATTCACGAAAGTCCCTCAACCGAGATCCCCCTTTCCGTACTTAGGCCAGTAGCAGTATCATCATCACAAAATATACCATCTCGCCTCCTATCTGACCAATCGTCATCTCCTCTCGAATCAACATCAAATTTTGCCTTGATCCTGAGAATTGCATCATCAATTCTTGCTTTTTTCACCGCCGGTCTCAATGATGGTAGTCTCGGTTCTCTCATCCCTTACATATTAGACACATATTCGCTTTCCACATCCTCCATCGCCTTTCTCTATCTCTCCTGCTTTCTCGGCTGGGTATTTGCGGCGATTAGCATTCCTATTATCCAAACCCATCTACGTCTGGGTATCGGTGGGATACTACTTCTAGGTGCAAGTTTGCAACTATTGACTCAATTTATAAGAATCTGGGGATCTCCATGGCCATTATTCGTAGTGAGCTTTGGTCTGGCGGCTCTAGGCCAAGCATACCAAGATGCCCAAGCAAATACTTCTATAGCCCAGATTGGTGACAAGGCCCATCGGTGGTTGGGTGTGGTACACGCGGCGTATAGTGTGGGGTGTTTGCTTGGTCCATTGGCTGTAACTGCCATTGCAACTGCCAAGCCGGTGCACTGGATGGAGAGTTATGGGGCTTTGGCTGGAGTCGCAGGCCTGAATGTTTGTTTGGTGGCTTGGGCCTTTGCAAGAGATATAGTGATCAAAACGCGGCATGATCAGGATAGTGAAGAACAAGGTGAAGAAGGTGAACAGAGTGATCATGCAAGAAGAAGAAATGCAATGCGGAGAGATATCGGGGAAGTCCTGAGAGGAAAAAGTGTCTGGGTCATCAGTTTTTTCTTTTTCTTTCATTTGGGTAGCGTCATAACCATCGGCGGTTGGCTAGTGACTTACCTCCTTACTCTCGCGCCCAATTCAGGAGCCCAAGCCTCATCAATTGGCTACCTTCCCACCCTCTTCTACGCAGGAAACGCACTCGGTCGTCTCTTCCTCATCGAACCTACTCATCGATTCGGCGAGAAGCGAATGATTTTCCTCTATTCCTTCCTATGCATCATTCTACAGATCATTAGCTGGAGACTTTCCAGTCTAATCGGCAGTGTCGTCATCGTATGTTTACTCGGATTCCTTCTAGGACCACTTTTCCCAGCAGCAATTACGCATACCAAGCTACTCCTTCCGTCGAGAATCATTACACCTGCCTTGAGTATAATTTTTGTGGTTGCTCAAGCCGGTGGAAATATATTCCCAGCTGTGACTGGTATTTTGGCGGCGAATTTGGATGGTGGGGACGGGGGAGGATCTAGAGTTTTGCAGCCAGTTGTTTTAGGGTTGTTGGGGGGTATGATGGGGGCTTGGTGGCTAGTTCCGGGGGTTGTAAGGAGGAGTGAGTAGTCTAGTATGGTAGTAGCGCTATTTAGATTGCTGTGGAAGATAATGAACGTATAACGATGTAAAATTGCGAATGACCTATCACTTTCTAAGCTCGAATGTCCTCAATTAGGGCTATCACAATTCCGCTGACATTGATAATATTGATGACCTGGAGTGTAAGTAGGTATAGTAACTGTACATTGCCACGAAGGGGTGTTAAGCGATGATGAGATTGTACTGGAGAGTCTTATCCCCATATCAATTAACAAAAGACCGACAAATAATATTCTCAGACCATCAAATTTCATAAGCCAGAGTCGGAAACCTTCAATAGACGGCGCGAGATCATAAATCCTTTACGTCCTAGTCAACGATCCTCGAATCACAGAGCCAGAATTTCCAACCGGACTTCGAGGAATTCTGCAAGTAATTGACGAATTTCGAGTGATAACCGAAATAAGTGGTGGGAAGCGGTGAGAGCATCTGGCGCAACCTAATCGACTTCAGATGACAGTTATCATAGAAGCATTTCACTCAATCAGCAATAATGAATTGGAGAGCAGAAGGCCTTTGGTGGATATTGACTTCTCAGTGAATATAATTAGCCCCGATGGAACTTCTCAATCTTCCTAATCAGATTTGATAATCGAATGTCTCTCCATGTCTTTGACCTAGAAAACACAGTTGGGTGTGTGATTTGCATCGTACAAAGCGTGCTTTCTATTTTTAACTCCTCTCCCCTCTCGCGAATTCACCCCTTCATCTGAACCGAGAGGGTTCCGCGCAGTGTTAGACAACCATCATGAGAGACCGCGATGCTCGAATAATAGCCTACATCTCCTGATTGCACTTGCAAAGGTACCGGGATTTATGGTCTGATATATCTTTCCAACGAACCAATACAGTATCTCAAGTTCTCATCAGTAACTCCAAAAAAATCCATTCTGGTGGAGACACTAAAATTGTCATTGACTTAACATTATGGACCAAGACGGCTTTGATAACTCTTCATATCCTTGATACTTTCGATTTTCGATACATTCAATTCGATTCAGCCGACAGTAACATGAAAGATCAACTTTTATAATACAATACACTTCTTGCTCCGATTATGGGAAGAGAATCTTTGCTACTATTTCGTCAGTTGATTCTGCTCCTGGCTTATCCGTCGAGATCAATGCGGGGCTAATCCACCCCCCTCTATAAATTTAGATGAATCTTAGCGTCTAATTATGCTAAAGCCGTTAGAAACCGAACTGATAGCTAGAGCTTCAAACGTATAATTGTCCGTTACTCGGCGCATCAGTGTGCTTATCATGAAACAAATGATACACGCGATAACACCAATTGTTCTTATATTCGAGGTAGGCATATCCTCTCATTATTCTTAAACATCTTTCTTTGTTTCTTTGGTTCGCAAATTCTTCATTCATCCATCATGCTCGCAAGAAATATCAAAAGCTCTAGAAGCTTTCAAACAATTAATCGTTGTTCATTGATTGCTTCTTACAAATGTGAAGCTTCAATACGTCTACCCCGCACCAGCACATTGGGTAGTAGCATCACATCAAGTACAGGAAATAGATACAATATGGCCACAATTGCAAGCTTTAAGATTCCAAAGGTGGTGAATGAGCCAAACGTAAGTTGTGTCCAGAAAATAGAAGCTGTAGCTTTCGTTCGGAAGAGCAATGGGAATGCTAATGGATGATATAGCATCATTATGCTAAGGGATCCGCACAACGCGATGGACTTTATAAGGCATTGGAGAGATTAGAAAGTAAGACGCCTTTGGAAGTCCCCTTGGTAGTCGGAGGTAAAGAGGTCAGCCTTAGTCTTTTCTCACAGTCTAGTAAATAAAGCTAACAACAATTATAGATTAAAACCTCTTCCATCTCCCACCAGCTCAACCCAGCCGATCATTCCTCAAAAGTCGCAACTTATTCAAATGCCTCCCCGTCCGATGTCTCCTCCGCAATCGATGCCGCCCTCGCCGCAAAACCCGAGTGGGAATCTCTCCCTTTTGCAGACCGAGCCGCTATATTCCTAAAGGCCGCAGATCTTATCTCTGGCAAGTATAGATATGAAATCATGGCTGCTACAATGTTGGGACAGGGAAAGAATGCTTGGCAAGCCGAGATCGATTCTGCTGCAGAGTTGGCAGATTTCCTCAGATTCAACGTTCAATATGCCGAGGAATTGTATGCGCAACAACCCGAACATCACTCCCCTGGTGTCTGGAATAGACTCGAGTACCGACCTTTGGAGGGATTCGTCTACGCTGTTACTCCATTCAATTTCACAGCAATTTCCGGTAACTTGCCAGGTGCACCAGCTTTGATGGGAAATGTCGTAGTTTGGAAACCATCTGATTCTGCCATTGCCTCCAATTGGTTATTGTACAACATTTTGCTCGAGGCTGGCCTCCCGAAGAATGTTATCCAGTTCGTGCCAGGAAACCCTGTTGAAGTTACCAAGGTTGTTTTGGAACATAAGCAATTGGCTGCGCTTCACTACACCGGAAGTACTGCTGTATTCAGAAAGCTCTATGGATCAATCGCAGACGGGGTTGCCGAGGGTAGGTATCAAGGATATCCAAGAATTGTAGGAGAGACTGGAGGAAAGAATTTTCATCTTATTCACTCTTCAGCTGATGTAGAGAATGCTGCTCTCAACACTGTTCGTGGCGCTTTTGAGTACCAAGGTCAGAAGTGTAGTGCTACATCAAGAGCATATGTTCCCAAATCTATCTGGCCTCAATTCAAGGAAAAGTTGGTTGAAGAAACATCCAAACTTTCAATTGGATCTCCAAAGGATCCAAAGAACTTTATCGGTCCAGTTATTCACGAACCATCGTTCAAGAAGCTATCAGGAGTCATTGACAACGCCAAATCCGACGCCGAGCTCGAACTTCTTGTAGGAGGCAAACACGATAATTCAACCGGTTATTATATCCATCCAACTATCTACCAAACCACCAACCCCAGACACCCTCTTCTTTCTACTGAACTTTTCGGTCCAGTTCTTACAGTATACGTCTACGATGATTCTTCGGCTCCAGCTGAAGCTTTTGAGTCGGTTTGTAAGCTCGTTGATACCACCTCTGAGTACGGACTTACTGGTGCAGTTTTTGCAACCGATAGAGCCGCGATTAGATATGCTGAAGAAGCACTGAGAAATTCGGCAGGTAATTTCTATGTCAACTGCAAGAGTACTGGCGCTGTGGTTGGACAACAACCTTTTGGTGGTGCAAGAGCTAGTGGAACAAACGATAAGGCAGGAAGTATGAATCTTTTGGGTAGATTCGTCAGTGTGAGAGCATTGAAGGAAGAGTTTGTTGCAATTGGAAGTGTTGAATACCCAAGTAATGAGGTTTAGAGAGGATGGTAAAAGTTGGTGATCATTCCAGTGTCCTATGCGAGGATGGACGAATAAAGTTATATGAGATGATGATATGAACGGAAGAGATGATCATCTCATGAAAATCGGTTAAATGGATTTGGCAAGCGATTTTCTTTGGACCTGTTATATGACATGCACAAATTCATCTTTCAGGCTTTGTATTTAGAGCGAATTTTGAGTGTATATGAAAATACCAAGTTGAGATTTTAGGAGTAAGACATGATGAGATCAAGATATTGATTGCTCCTCACTTCACAGAGTATTATACCGTCGTCCGATTCAGTCTTTGATTTTCGGATGAGAATGTGATCTTTCGAATTTAACATTTACCAAGAGTTGGCTTGAAAATACATCTATCTAGAAGAAGTTCAGATATAACCTTGTGTTTTCTTACTTAAGTCACCATCGCTACTTCACATTGAATATAGTGAAATTGAATGTCTTCCCTTTCCTCAGAGAAGCAATCTATTGATCTCATTTGTAAATAGAGGGAGGTCTTGTAACAAATAGTATACTTTTCAAAATTTCCCATTTCATTTCATCTCAATTTATCTAATCTTACGCACAACTATCTTTACTTGTTTCTTTACTCGTATTCTCATTCTTCTTCCTAAAGTCCTTTTGGAATTTATTCTTCGTCTTCAGATCACAATGATATGATTCATGTCTCCATTATCCAGTCCCAGCAACCATCCACCTCGCTAACCAAAACTCCAATGCCAAACCCAAGTCATCTATCTATAAATACCAACGCAAACCGATGTACGTCTTTTCTTTCTACATCCTACGTCTTTTCACCTATTTATCTCTATCGCCCAGTCATCCCCCGATTTCTTGATCTTTTTTTAAAGACCATTTAATCCCTTCTCTCGTCTGACCGTAAGCAAACTAGTACTAATCTTGAAGCTCATCCTCGCCTCAAAAACATACGTTTGTGGCCAGCTATGCAACTTGAGTAGTTTCTCTTCGCAGTCGAGTACTTTTTCCTTCCGATGCTCTGTTAATTTACCATCGGAAATCTTGCCTTCCGAAACTGTATCTCCCGTTGGGGGCAAATCTTTTTCGTGCCAGGAGCAACATGCTAATTCGTAATAGGCGGAAGGAAGAGTCCAGTCATCTCTGAGAGCGCCGCGTGCATGTCTGGTATGCGTTAGTCATGATGTTCAGAAGAAACATAGATATAAAGAGGGACAATACCTTTCAGAATCCACAATTTCCCCTGACAAGATCTTCCTCGCCTCCTCATACCTCCCCATATTTCTCAAGACACAACCACGTAGCAAAAGATGAATAGCCTTATCATCCTCATCCTCATTACAATTCTCCGGACACGTCATTCTATTCTCCTCGAGCAGATCTAAGCATTTCTGCAACTCCACATTTCCACTCTTCTTGACTCCATTCCAGAAGTATATCATTTCAACAAAAGGACTAGGACCAATCGCATCTACAAGATCTACATTCCACGTTTTGGCTCTCTGTTCCCATTTGCCCACTTTGCTTACTATGTAGATGTCAAAAGGGAGTTGCTTAGCCATGACTTTTTGTTTGCCTGCTAGAGGTGGAGCTTTCAAGAGAAATTCGGTAGCTTTTTTCTTGTGGATCTTAGCTACTGTAGGATCGCTGACTCGGGTGTTGCGATAGAGTTCGACATATGAAGCACCGGCCATGTAGTGATATAATGTTGGACTCCAAGCACTCTGCTCGCTGCAGTCCATCCATGCCGTGGCTGATTTTTGATATTCGTGGAAAAACAAGGTAGTAAGAGCCATCTCAAATGTATTGATCATAGCGATTTGTTTCATCTTACTCTTAGAGTTCTCTTCCAGAATTTCGAGGGCGCCGTTCAAATCTTGCTTATAAGATAACATGCGAGCTTCCTCTAGTTTCCACAATCTAGAATCAGGGTGTCGAGTTTTCATTTCAGCTAGAAGCGCCTCGCATTTCTTTTTTGGATATCCCGTAAGATTTTCATCGGCTCCTGCATCGGTGGGTAAAATATCACAAAACCCAACCAATCCATTATAATATCCAAGTAAAGCAAGAGCAGCAATAGCACTGTTGAAATTTTGATATCTTGTCGCTTGCCATAGCAGTCTGGTTCCACGTTCTCGATCCCCTTTGAATCCGACAATATACAATATTTTATTGAAAATTGGATTTTCAATCATAGAGAAAACGAGAAGCAAAAGTCCGCAACACAACCGAACTCCAGAATGTATGAAAATATCTGTTCGATTGGTGAACACTTTTTCTGCGAGCTCTGGGTCGATATCATAGGGGTTGGTAACCGAGGGAGGTGAAGGTGGTTTCGAGACGTCTGGAAATGAAGCATTGTTTTCGTCCACCTTTTCGTCGAGGTCTCCTACAGAGAGATTTGCCGTTTGGTGTGCAATATCATCAGCCGTAACTGCTGGTAAAGTGCTCTTTCGACTCAGAGGTCTAGAAGTGAGTGAAGTCGTACTCGAATTTGAACTCGCCATCTTCTCCAAATATTTGTTTTCTATCTCCAGTATCCCATCCAGTGTGAGATATGCCTTTCTCAATTTGTAAAAACCCTTAACTGCTTCTGTGATACTTCCGCTGAGAACGGCTGTGATCGCACTCGTCAATTGAGCCCTATCATAAATTGTATCAGCGCTAATTCTCCACATCCCATTGATAATAATACTTACACAGAATAACACAACAGATACTCTGTACCCTGTGGGTATATATTTGATTGGAAAGCCGTGGATTCTTTTTGAGCTTTCTTCATATCCTCCCAACTTTTATTCTCGGCTTCTAGTAGAATTACCGCAGCTTCCTTGAGTAAATCCTTCTCTACTCCCATCATCGCAGATAAGAAACCGGATATTCCTCTTCCTAAATGATGGTATGAAGAATCGTTTTTCTTCAACAATTTGTCTGCTTCATCGATATCATCGTTCAACAATTTCAACATTGCAGCCTCGACATCCCTTAGATGCTGTTCCTCGTCTTCTCCAACCATTGTAGGTGCTGCCTTTACGGCGGATCTAAACCACCTGCTCATTTTGGCTGATCTACTATATGTGTTTGTGCGGGTGTATAATATGTGGTTTTGCTTTCGTGTATAATGTGTGAAGGTCTCGCGACCTTAAGTGGCTGTTATTCTGGCCAGGGGTTCATGGATTTTGTATCTGTGAAATAGGATTTTAAGTTCGTGAACATTCAATTTTGTCAAAGACAGTTATTAAAGTCCAAGATAAATCCCAATAAGTGGTCAAACCGGAGGGCCTCGGATATGGTCGATCCTGTTGGTGAAACGACGTTGATGTATTGAAAGTTCGAAAACCTGGCGCTCGGAGAATGCGGGGCAGTGAATTGGGGCAAGTATGGTGATGAAGGTGATGTTGATAGTTTCACAGACACGCACGAAGCAATCAGAAGAGAAGTCAGGAGAGAAAAAGGAAAGAGATCCTTCTTATAATAGTCCAGATCAACCGATATTCCAGTCACAATATCGCATCACATTCAACGAAAAGAAAGGAGAAGATAGACAAGAAACAAGAATGTGAAAGTAAAGTAAAGTCCGTAGCTTACTTTCCACAGCTTCGCACTTCGTATTTATGATCATCAGTGAGTGAACTTGGAGGCAGCCGTCATCTATCCATTTTTGTCAAGGTTAAAGAAAGTACTTCCGAGTACCTGGGCTGTGTAGGTAGGTAGGTAGTGAGTGATTGTTGGATCCATCGGAAGAGCTCAGGCCTAGAAGAGGCGGCGGAACAGCAAAGCGGCAAGGCTCTTTTAGGTATGGTGCATTAACTGACTAAGCTTTATTGGTCCGGAGCTTATCTAATCTACCAGGGATTTCTTGCGAGCTTGCCTCATGCGAATTCACTCTGCTGTACAGTGCAAGCTGGAGACTCCAAATCACCTTTGCATCGCAAATCTATATCCATACAATTCGACCTTCGCACAGAACGAACACGATACCGCATTACCATACCTTCCATCCTCGATCATCGAATTTAACCTTTAAATCACCCATCATGTCCGCAGCACCAACCTCTGGCGCCGCCCCAACAACAAAGGCCACCAGCGCCGATAAATCATCCGCCGATGTGTCAAAAGATCAAAAGCCCGTTACCACATTAGAGGAAGATGATGAGTTTGAAGATTTCCCAGTTGAGAGTAGGTTTTCTCTTAATCTATATTTGGTATTGGTAACAATTCGAAAGCGGTTCAAGTGATGATACCCAATAGAGTCAAACACTGAAGTGAACCGTGTAAAAAAGCGGTTTCCTAATTGATGACCACAATTGCGTTATGGTGTCTGATGAATTTTGAAGCTTGGGGATTTGGCAAATGGGCCATGGATGATGGACGACATGGGGGAGAGCTTGTGTAGCTTGACGAGCTTGCTCGCAGAAGTACAGTGCAGTTGGGATACAGATTTGGAACTGCGGAGATATGCGTCTGCATTCTACAGCTCCTCCTGTTATCTCAACTCTGCTCTCCGCTTCCACACATCAAATAAGCCAATATCATACAAGAACAAGATCTACAGATTTACAGATTCGAAACTAACATGTTTACGCCTCTAGACTGGAGCCAAGAAGACACAGAAGTACCCGGCGACAACACACATTTGTGGGAAGAGAGCTGGGATGACGATGATACTTCGGAGGATTTCTCCGCGCAATTGAAGTACGTATCACCATGCCACACCCTGATTCTCCTCGTTCCATGCCACACCTACCAGCTATGCCACCTCCATTCGCGCAGTCTATTGCTACGCATACAATTATTATGTACTAACTATATTTTGTTCATAGGGAAGAATTGAAAAAAGTCGAAGCAAACAAGAAGAGATGAGCAGGAAATATCTTGTTCCATGGGTGACGCGCATTCAATGGGGAGTTCAAGGGCATGACATCATATCACATACACCACATCACAGTAGAAATTACTAGAAGATGATGGGCATAAAATGGAGATGATTATGATATGCATTTCTCTATAATAATGTTTTTTTGTTATTCATTTCGTCGTTCCAAATGTCCCTTCGTGATTCGAGCTATCATATACTGTCTCCGCATCCAACGAATTTGCCTATAATCATAGGTTGGACTTATTTGAACGGTCTGATATCCTATCAGAACCGAACCATGCTACAAACGTGACCTCCAAATTTACTTACTCGACAAAGCAGAAACACCTGGGAGATCCTTGCCCTCGAGCAATTCCAAAGAAGCTCCACCACCAGTTGAAACGTGGCTAAGCTTGCTCTCAACTCCATACTTGGCAGCCACAGTAGCGGTGTCACCGCCACCAATAATAACAATCTTTCCATTCTGAGCAGCATCGACGGCAGCATCAAGAGTTGCTTTGGTACCCTTGGCAAAAGCCTCAAATTCGAAGACTCCTGGTGGACCGTTCCAGAGGATAGTCTTGGACTCATCAATAGCTTTCTTGTAGAGTTCGATACTCTTTTCTCCACAGTCAAGTCCCATCCATCCATCTGGGATACCCTCCTCATCAGTAGCAGTGCCAGTGTTGGCATCCTTAGCAAAGTTGTCGGCGGTAATGTAATCGACTGGTAGAACAAGCTCAACGTTGTTCTTCTTAGCCTTCTCAACGAGATCCTTAACGGTCTTGCTTCCAGCCTCATCGAAAAGAGAGTTACCAATCTTAACACCCTCCAATGTCTTCTTGAAGGTGAATGCCATACCACCGCAAACGATGAGCTTATTGACTTTGCCGAGGAGGTTGTCGATCAATTGGATCTTGTCGGAAACTTTAGCTCCTCCGAGAATGGCCAAGAATGGTCGTTGAGGGTTCTCCAAAGCCTTAGCGAAGTACTCGAGTTCCTTCTTCATGAGGAATCCAGATGCCTTTTGTGGAAGATCAACGCCGACCATGGAGCTGTGAGCTCTGTGGGCAGTTCCGAAAGCATCATCTTGAGGCCGTGAATTAGCCTGTGCCCCGTTTGAATGCCCAAAATGAAGCTTGACATCAAAACTCCAAAATCCGCAATAAACCTAAAAAAATGACTCACTAATGAAAATATCTCCCAAAGCAGTCAAACCCTTTCTGAACTCCTCTACCTTCTCCTTATCAGCCTTAACCTTTTTTCCCTCTGCATCCTTCGAGCTTCCCTCCTCCTCAGCGTGGAATCTCAAGTTCTCAAGCAACACAACTTGTCCCCCAGTTGCCTTGTTAACGATTTCTTCGACTTCCTTTCCTACACAGTCTGGTGCCATCTCGACCTTCTTTCCACCCAAAAGCTTCTCGAGCTCTGGGACGACGGGCTTCAAAGAGTATTTAGCGTTGGCCTTTCCATCGGGACGTCCCAAGTGAGACATGAGGATAACGGCTTTGGCACCATTGTCGATGGCATATTTGATAGTTGGGACTGCGCCTGCAATACGTTGGTTGTTGGTAATGTTCTTGTCGGAATCGAGAGGGACGTTGAAATCGACCTAGTGGGTAGGCAGTTAGTTAGCTACTTGACTTATTTTAGATGCCATCTTTAGTGTGTAGAATGCGGCTTTCCAATCTTCCAGTGATTCCTGAACAAAAAAGTATGACTTGTACTCAATATAGTGTGAGTACAATACAATATAACATAAGATTATACGATGGAAATTCAAAGACAGGTGCGGGAACTGTAAACATACTCTGATCAAAACTCTCTTGTCCTTGACGTCAACGTCGGTGATGGAAAGCTTGTTTGAAAGAGACATCTTCTTGTAGTTAAAGATCCAAAGTATTGGGTGATAGTTAGAAAAAAGAAGATTCGGAATGAGTTTCTTATAGTTTTGATTGCAAAGATGGTATTAATTTAGAAATCGGTTGAGAAGAAACAAAAGCTTAAAACCAAAGGGACGTGAGTTGAGATTTGATGGAATGCCCCTCTGTCATGGTGGGGTGGTTTTCTTGGATCCTCTCCTCGGCAGCTTGTCGGGAGTATCCGTGACCTCTTCGTATCAGATTCCAAGAAATCTAAACCATCACCTTATTGTCTATTGAAAGTGCTTGAACGTGAAGTCCAAGCTGTATAGGTTTCTGAGACGCGGATATCTTCTTGGGTGTTTGAATAGTCAGGCATTTGCGATTTCTGTCAAGGCGCCCTCTATATACCTAGGCATTCCGTCAAGCTTGTTTGCTCACATAGGGTAGGCAAGTGGAATATCACAAGGAGCAAGTGCCAGCCAATAGATCCAGATTTCAGAAAAAAATATTATTGCTAATAGATTTGCACTTATGTAGAATCAATACGATATGTATATCTATGGTCTATAAAGAAATCGTGATATTCACCTCCAAAAGCCCAGGCGCCAAACACCATTTGAATGTCCCAACCAGATATGAAAATGAAACTTGTAGATATATTGTCTAATGTGACCTATCCAGACCAAAATCCATAGACCTAGAACTCCATCCTTTGCCAATGCCGCTGATTCCGAGTTGTCCGTCGTGCCTACCTTTTCGCATACTCGGGTCTAGAGTTACAATAATCTGATGTTTGGTGATACCGGGGCTGATCGAACTTCCAAAGCATCTTCAGCTGCATTCGATAAGGAGAGATAAGCTGTCCATGCAATACCAACAGTCGAAACAAATGGCTATTAAATTTGTTAACAATAAGCACTGGGAGGAAAGATTTTGCTTTGGGGAAGAACCAACCAATTGGAATTGTAGTGGCATAAGACGGAAGTTAATGATTTGTACCAAAGGCCAAACCAAAAAGTTAGCCTTTAGTGTTGGAAGATACATATCTCTTAGCTTTTGAGCAACCGCTCTCTTGCCGCCACCTTCTGCAACGGTCATAACGATAAAGAAGTTAGCGATGCCTACGAAAAGTTAGTTGTCATGCCTCTAATGATAACGAAGGACTTTTCATACCGACTGGTGCGAAGACTAATTGATCCATCGCAACCATCTTCATTGCTGGTCCAAAAGCACTCGATTTTGTGATTGGAAATGCTTTTGATAGGAACTGGAACCATTTGAACTGAATAGGGGCCATCGCGAATCCATACGCCATAAATCGAGTCAAGCGCTCAAAATCAAAAGGTGGTGGCAGAATCTTGGAATCAGGAATAAGATCACGATCATTGAACGGATTTTTCCTATCGAGTTCGTGAATTTCTATGGCCAACGAATCATCCTTCCTTAATCCTCCTTGTTTTCGCACAGCGGATTGTCTAATTGCTGTTATAGATTGTGCCACTGTGTCAGCTATGCCACCCAGTACTGCGTTTGTCACCATCATGGTGAGTACCGGACGGGCAGCATAGTAGCTGTTGAATTTTGCGGTAAGTCTGCCGACCATTATGAGTTCGATGAGGAAGATGATTGTGTGGATGAGAGGCTGTGGTTGCAAATTTTTGTTAGCATCTGAAAGCTGGAAATTGGTTCGGGCCTAAAATCACTAGGCAATCCGGCCCAGAAGTAGAGACGGGATCAAATGGAAGGTGCGCGAAACTCACAACTCTGCCGTAAATGTATTTGCTATTTGCTGTCCGCATAAAGCGTCTCCGTTGGATCTCGAACGGTAGAGGCATGGTTGCGGGAGGGCGGCGAGTATGTAAGAGAAATAAATGGGTTGTGAATTGGACGGTGGGTTTCTTGGGAATTATGACGACAGAGACAAAGACAAGACAAGATGGATGATCTTTTGGTTTCCGATAGGACTACTCGGAACCACGAATTATATGCCTTGATATTGTTCGCTTTCGTATGATTCTCTCCAGCCAAATCAAATGAAATAAATAATTCAGAAAACAAATAGATGACTCTGAAATGCGACAATATGGAATAAGAATACTTGAGAATCGATTATGAAGGATGATTGAAGTGAAAGAGGGGGAAAGAAATTGTTACCTTCCCCGAAACCATTGAGCCACTCCTTCACCGGCAATACTGTTAGTTTCAGTTACGAAATCATTCGCTAGCATTCAATCAATTCATGCGTTGTTTCGAGACTTGATGTCAAATAGATTGCAATGAGTACAGATTTACTCAGCGCGTAACTATAGGAATATGCATTAATGTTTGATTCCCTTCGCCTTTATAGGTAGATTTGCTTCAAGACAGACGGGGGAAAGCGTTCGACAGTTTCTGTTATCTACAGTACCTATGGTTAGTTGTGTAATTAGATGGAAAACGTTGAGGGCAATTGACAATCTAATATTTCTCGTTTAGATAAGGTCGGGTCCCCGCACTTTGTCGCAGAGCAGAGCAGAGCAGATTAAAATGCGATGTTTTCCTCGCGAAGATTGTTTAGGGGGTTGAGTCGTCTAACTGATATTTGGGGCGTCGCAGCTTTACAATAAGAAGCTCTCCTTTCTAGATTTTCGGGTAGATGCTATGAATCTTGCATTGGTCTACAACAGTTACGCTTTCCAGATGCTCTAGTGAGCTGGACCTCTCCCTGCGCGTAGCCGTGGAATGTTCGTTCTAGTCAGTACTAGAGCACGTCGAAAGCACGTCCTGAATTATTGAAGTCTTTTATTCTCGCAAATGTTGGAAGATCGAATGTTAATTATTGTGTCTGTTATATCAACCTAATAGCATTCTCAATCTCATATTTCCTCTTCTATTATCTTCCAACCATGAGCGACCTTAGCCAGTATCAAGCGCAAAGCCAGCAAACCATCTCCAAAGGAAATTCAACCTGTTCCAACCCAGCCTATCTTTGCCACCCAACGTTTCAAACGCCACAGCTATTCTTAAGAACAAGAAGTGTCACCCCTTCACCGCGTTCTAACACTTAAATTGCGCGTAACAAGCATAGGTACCATCTCTCTCAATTGCACACCACCAACCCGGATTGCCACCATCCGTACCACCAACTCCATAATGACCCCCTGCATAATCGAAACTTGGAGATGCTGTAGGACTATTACCTATCATCACAACTCCATAAGGCAATTGCGAAGCCAAGAAGAATGTCTTGTACAAAGGAATGTTAGTTGTTCCACCGATAACATTGCAGGATGGGTTGAAGATCCAGGCATCTTGAACGAGGGGTCTAGTGGGGAAGTTAGACTTAGTGGCAAGTTGACAGATTCCGGGCGATTGCATGTTGCAGACAGGTGGGTTTGGTGGACCGGGAGAAGATGGTGGAGAGGTAGGAGCGGAGGTACTGATTGGGGTGGTAGAGGGGGTTGTCGACACTGGAGGTGGCTTGGGAGTGGTGGAAGGTTGCTTGGAAGTGGTGGAGGGTGGTAGAGAAGAGCCTGGGGCCGAAGAGACGGTGCAAGGAGATTGTCGACGATTGTGGCGGCGAGCTGCAACTACATTATCGCTTGAGAGGAAGAGCAAGACGCTGAAAAGGGCGACAAAGTACTTCAAGTGCTGCATCTTTCTGTTTCCCTTCAGCATATTTCTTTCGTCATATAAGTTTAATTCCACTATACCTGTTATATTGGTACCTCTTGTTGTATTTTCCCGGGAGTTTGGAAGTCCAAATGTTTGGCGGTTACTTAATCGCAAGTGCCGTGGGGTTTGAAAAGTGAGTCGAAGAACAGTTGTAACGAAAGTTTCTTGTCTCAATTCTTCAAAATGTTTTGTTGAATATCGCAATTACTATAAGGCCTCGAAGAGAATTATTGATTCGTTCGAATGGCAATTTCTTGTATTTCGCTTCCGAAGTTACTTCGTTGAAAGTTGCAAATACTGCGAGCTTTATTGCTCACAATTCTAATTTTTCCTAGGGACGAAGGTGAGTATTGCAGAGAGGAAAGGAGTTCAATTACAGTAAAATAAGGTACTGATTTTCGTCCGGTATGTCGAAAAATAAATCCAATCTGGTTGTAGAGGTTTATAGGTAAAAAAGTGTTCATTCTAGCCTTTTTTTCTGAACAAATGCACATGTCCCATGTCATCGTCTTATGACCCCGCGCTAGTGGCTCCAAGCTTCATTGAGATCATTACTGAACTCTATTGAATCATTCTTCGTCCGAATTCGGCAATGTCTTCATTTTGGAAAGGAATTCTCGGTGTTATTGCATAATGGTATGGTTTTAATGTGTCGTGGAATGTGCAAAAAGTTTTGTATAGCGCGGAATGATATGTGTAATTGTGTTCATGTGGTTTTTTAGACTTTAGAGTTTCTGCCATTCTTTTTCCCTTGTGTCTCAGCACCTACATCGAGTATTGTATCGCAATATTCACATGACCAAGAATGGAAATCAAAGGCTAACAGAAGTAAATTCGAGTGTCTAGCGTTCTGGAACATCTAGTTAAGAAGAATTTTAACAGTTGACGGTCATTCAAAGCTTTGTGATCACCATATAAAATGACCCAGCCCCTCTTCATACACGCATCGCTCTTGATCACTACATCCATGTGTCCTCTAAAAAGCCAGTAACGACACGCGGTACATACGTATCGAAACTCTTGGGGATCTCAGCCATCTTGACTTAATCTGTTGACCCCTTGTCGTCGATCCGAAGACGCGTTCTGTACTGGTTGCAACTCAATATTTATCGTGGGAGTATCCGAGGTACCATCACAATCCGTGGTACCCAATACCATTGCAGCCAACGCCCCAACAACTTGTACAGCTTGTAAAACATCGTTTGCGTCGATCGAATTGGCGGGTGAGGGCTCAGGAGTTTCGTCGGACCTGACTTCGAATGTGGGTGTTCGTGCAGCGAGTAGTTCAGCAATTTGGTGCACTGCAAGCGAAGCAATTAGTAAAGCACATTATAGAGGGATTGGTGGTACTTGCAATCATCTGCTCTAAGCGGTTGTCGATATTTTCTCCAGATATACGAGAGGCTCACAAAGACCATGGTGATTCTATACATTGCAGTTGCGATGACATCCGGGCTCCAAGTAGCCTGAACAGGTAAGGGTGGCATGTTGAGGAAGGAAAGGGTCTCTGATCGGTTGAAAAAATGTTATTTCGCTGCGATTGATGAATCCAACAGGTCTGGTGAAAGATTCGCTCTGTTTTAAAACTAAGGACAACAACGATTGTGTGGCGAATAGCAGCGGTAGGTAATGAAGTCTTTCTATCTTGAGGTGTCTATCAAGAGAGGTGTGTGAGAGTGAAGGGTTTTGAACCAGATCTTGCAGATTTACCAGTCAGAATTGTGTAGAAATTATATCTTGTGGATGCCATTCGAAAGGTAAGAAGGAAAGAGGATTTTATCTGCAATATATAGGCACCACAATCCTCGACGAAGCATTGATATTGGCAGATTGAGAATACCACTGCATCGCCGTGCCTTTTGAGCAAAGTCATAACATTCATTGACATTCGTATATTGCCAGAGTAAAAATCGTGTTGCGTCGCCATTTACGCCGGCCAGAGCCGCTCTCTGTTAGAATTGAGCATTGCGGAAGAATGATAGCTTTTGCGTCGCCATGTATTTTGAGCAGAAACAGAAGTCATTTAGGCCAGGGTTCACCTGGACTAAAGGCAATTCAATGCAATAATTAAAGGCGGTGCCATTTAGAGTGTCTTGGGTATGTATCGAGATAATCAATCCACTTGTGCTAGAAAGGCGACGCTTTTCAAAATTGCGAGTCAAAAGATACACAAAACTGTGGCAAAATTCTAGATTACGAAGTGCGGGGGGATTCGGGTTTGGCTGGAACTCTGCGACACGAAATAAAGGTTTGGGCTGGCAATACATTTTACAATTTTAAAGACAGGGCCAAAAAGATGTCAATCGATGATTCGCTATCTGCTCGTAGCGCCGGGTGAAAAAGGAGAACAAAGTCATGAAGTTGAAAAAGGCGATGTTCGGCTGGTGATATCTTAGATTCAGGAATCGGTACAAGGCCGACGCAATTCAAAGGGCCCGCCAACACTCCAAAGGTGCCTACCGTCAACCACGAAGCATGCAAAAACACTACCAGCATACCTGAATTCATCATCGTTGAAAATCACCATGCTCGTTACGGAGCCGCAGTATCCTCATACTTTTCCTCCTGAATCATCGTTGTGGAATCCAGGTTTACAAATTTCAATTTCAATTTCAAATTTTACCTGAGAATCTATCACAACAACGTCTTTTCGACCCTAAAATGTTAAGTCATCCTAGAGAGATTTAGTTTTACTCTAAAAACGAAGCAGTATGCCCTAAGAATGTTAGTCCAATAATGTACAAGATCTTTCGAGCTTCGCGATACCAGATTCATACATCATCTAGAAACTAATGTAACAGTGGCGCTTTGGCAAAGTACCTTGAAATCCTGGGAGCTCTTAGGGTATCAATAAGGTGTGCATCGCCTTTTCAATTGCTTCGAACGACTGTGGAAAGGGCAAGTTGTGTGGATTCTGGCGATGCAAATGCACATATCGGGACCTAGTTTTCAATTGATATAAACAAACCAATGCCTCGAGAAATCTAAAGTTGATTCCAGGTCAGCCAGTTGAACATTATGAACGAAGATAACTCCAAAAATCACCAGAGAAGTATTCTCGAGCAGGTTCCCGCAACACAGCTCGTGTCAGAACGTTACAAATGCTACAAAATGCACGAATTACTTGAGTCCCTGGATCTAAAACTAGAATTATTGGAGGCAATGAATAGTCTAGATGTTCTGATGGTTTGGAGGGACGAGTTCAATGCTAACATCAATGTTTTAAACAAAAAATCCCTTGCTGCTTTCCATAAAAAGTACAGCTCTCTCCAAGGAACCGCTAAGTCGCCGCCAATACATTCACAGTATCTCAATCAGTCTCAGGGATCCAAGAGAGCTTCAGGTCTACAGATATCTGAAATCATAGATCTGCCTTTTGATAGCAATGAAGGCTACATAGACATTGGCGTGGGAAATGCCAGTGAAAAGTCCAGCAACTCGTTTGACTATTTCATATCTCATGATGTTGCGCAAAGTACAACTACCATAGCACCACTACCGAGCAACCAAATGCCCAAATATCCATTGATCATTCGAGATATGGACGAGAAGCAAATGTTTAATGGAAATGGAACGATAGACTCAGAATTTGCCGTTCAGTATGCTGAAAACCAAATGAAAACCGCAAACTCGGATTTTCGAGCTCCACTTGATATTCAACCTTCACATTCACCGCCTCAAGAGATGTCGCCTCAGCTGATGTCTAACTCTGAAAAGATACCCGGATCCACGTCAGCTAGAAGGAGAGGCTATCCCCATATTTTCAATGTTTGCTCCAAGACATTCACAAGGGGGACTACACTCCGTGAACATGAACTGAGTCATACAAATATGAGGCCTTACAAATGCAGTACCTGCAAAAAGGGCTTCTCGAGGCGCAAGGACTGTCTTCGCCATCAGCTCCTACATGCGAATACCAAGAAGTTCTAATGTGGTGGTCGCGACCTACATCGAGATTCCTTGCCAGCTTACAATCTACATTTTGGATGCGGCAGGAGCTTCACCAGAATGGATGCGCTCAAAGCACATCGGAACACACTGAGAGGCGCTGATTGCTTAGAGGTGTTGTTCGGGCTAGAAAAAAGGGATTGTGTTCGTGCCATGCAGCTGACATTCCGTCCTAATGTGGAATGTGTTTGCGGCAGTGAAATTGTAGATGACCTTGAAACACACCTTGATGTTCCTTTCCAGTCAAGTTGTTTGAGACATAAACTCATGGAGATAGCGGTATCCATTGCAATGGAGGATTATGAGGGCCGGCAAAGAACGAAGTAAGTCGCCAGGATCCGGATTTCGCATTGCAAAGATACGGATGAGAGATATACCACATCAGAGCATAGTGTCTGAGAATACGTGTGAATTCAATTGGGCATTGGAGGTTCGGGTTTATATTGACATTTTGAATTTGGATTGAGGGCAGGCTCTGGTAGGAGGAGTGTTGTTTAATCGGAAACTCGCGTGGATCAAGAATAAGTGAAGGTTTTCGGCAAGATTTTGATTATACGGGGGGCACCATAAAATTTCAGAGGGTTTTTGCATATAGAAGTACATTGGCATTTCATTGATGAAGTTGAATTGGGACATTGACACATGATTTCAATGAAATAAACATTGATAATTGAAGGATCACTGTCACATTCAACATGCATAGATATGTTAATCGAAAGTTTGTGCAAAAAGATGACTTGTCATGACATCACCATATAATTATCTTGCTTCCCCGCCACCTTTCTCATGCTCCTATCCGGTGGCCAATTACACAATTTCCCTAAACGAATCTGACTTGTCTGTACGACTGTTTAAAGTTCGAGTCTACCTCAATCAACTAGGGTAACCATTCGGATCGTGCCCCCTTCCCAACAGACTGCTCATAAATTTGCTTCAGCTTATCTACTGACGTGATTTTAGCCTGCGGAATCTCAAACCCATATTTCGTAACAGAATATCCTGGGTTCTCCACACATCTGATGATTTCGTCGAAAAACAAATCGCGGCTCTTAAGCTTCTTCTTTTGTTGCAAAGTAGCGTGCTGCTGAATCATGGTTTCTGCTAGTAGGTGCGGTAACTGCTTTATCGTTGATGCGATTGTGGTGTGCTTCCGGCCACACATACACGGCTTATCCCGCGCAATCCATAGAGTGCTGATTTCTCGAAGCGATGATGTTATCCAACGAAAACCTTGATAGTTCCTGCGAGGAAGATTGTGCACTTTCATACACACGATGGCAGATTTGATAGAATCCATATCAGTTTTAGCACCCCGGTTGAAATTTCGTGTGCTTGAGCGCAGCATTGTGAGAGCTTTCAGGTTGTTGAAACAAAATGTGTCGGGAGCACGACGATGGTCCATAGCCATGTAGATAGGTGCGCCGCCTATTTCGCGGCCAAATACTGGACGGTAGTATTTCAACGCTACTTCTCTAGCATCTCCACAGGTGTGGAGCAGATTTGGAATCTGATATTGGGCCACGAGTGATGTAATTTCAGTATCGGTGGATGCGCTATTTCTATGAACGTATGCGGAACCTCGATGGCATTGGTTGACTTTCGATTGGTCATTGATGGGGTGAACCTTGGTATCTATCGTAATAACTTGCGCATCAATGTCTGCAGCAGCGATCTTCCAGATTTCAAGCTGAAGCTCCTTGGGAAGCCATCGAAACATATAAAAACGATCTGTGGGAGCTTCACGTCGCTGCAGGGCCTGCTATTGAGTCAGTGATTTGCACAAAACAATTTCCGATGTTCAATACACAGTCAAAGGAGCGACGCTATTGACATGATCGATCGCACTCCAAGCTCGGATAACCTAGACCTTTCCAATTCAAAAATCTCAAGTTGGAGTGTGATATGCTCTCTCCATCACACGATAGGGTATTACATACTGTAGATTTTATAGGTTCCTTTTGAACAGCAATTGCTGGGTCCGCAGAGGTGGCAGGTATAGCATAGTGATGCAAATCCAGACAAATGCGTTTCTTTGGAGGGAAATAACCCATTGTGTCTCTGAGGTTCGAAAATGATAGTTGAAAGACCGAAGGAGTGGAATGGATTTGAAAAAAATTGTGCGAAGCTCGAGTGACATTTAAGAATAAAAAATAGTAGCTACACGGCCCCTTAGCTTACGATGCCGTACTAATAGTGAGTTGATACATCGTTGGTTCAGATTTTTTATATAAAATTGAGATGTAATAGATTGTACGGCCGAAAAGTGACTATTTCTTCATCTATTCTAGCGGCAGTATACCGTAAGGTGCGACTATCAGCAACTACAACCACAAACTTGAGAGCTTTGTTAGATTATACTTGATGCAATTCGATTGACTTTGCTCGACTGGATTCACTCAAGCATCAAGTACATACAATGCGGCTGTAAATATTGCGGACATCAGACAATAACAGCACAAATCAGTCACAATCTGATTAGCAATTATATTGCAAAAGTCGAGTTATTTCCATTGCGTCATTGCTGCGGTTGATAGTTTGAAGAAAGAAACACGGAAGTTTTCGCATCCAGAGTTTCTGTCCTTTCGAAGCTTTTCAACTTGACCTCCTGCTCTGAGGTCCTTGAAGGGGTTCCAACTAGAAGTTGGCATGGAACTCGACATTATCTCTTGATGTATGATGGTAATTGTTTTCCTGGTGTCGGATCAGTCTGTCTCTTGAGGCTGCGTTGCACTTGCTATTGCCGAGAGTTCGAGAAGGCCCAGTTAAGTTGATTCCGAGAGAGTGCTCAAACATGGGTAGGGTGGGAGACGGGCACGTAATGGTTGAACATTATAACAGAGGCATATATTTGCCACGAGATGATTGAGGTAATTGTGGATGATGAGGCCAACTCTTCAACTCAGAAAGACGTGCGCCAAACTCCATTCCACTCGGGGAGAAGCTGCTTCGAGTGAGGAATCCCATCGCATACCATAAGGTGTGTGATGACGTTGAATTTGAGTTGCGAGTTGGATCGTAGTTCATGCCCAAATTCAAGACAAGCTTCCTTGGCGCCAATACTCATCGTACCAAGACTGAACAAGTCTGATTCCATTTTCTGGGCAGATGCAAAGTTCTGAATGTACATTATTCAAGTGGATGGAGAGCGACTAGAGAGTATTCGGTCGGGAGAGAATGATTTGGACCTATCCCTCCCCTTTCCGCTTACCTCGGTCGTTTAAGGAATCAGGACTGGCTTTATTAATTGGGAGGAATATGTTATCCGGGTTGATACTGCGCGCCACTGGAGAGTACCTAGACATATATATAGTATCTCGAGAGTATATTCCTAGTAAGTCGTATTAGCGAGATTGGCTAGAACACCTCAACCTTATCTAGATTAGAAACGAGTCCGATCGTCTCTCTCTCTCTCTCTCTCTCTTCTCACATATCTTTTACATATTCCTTCACAGATATCTACCATTGACCCTTACATATGATAAATTAATTGCTCCAGCCCCGTGATTCCCCCGCGCCACTTCTCTACCTTATCAAGTCGCACGGGTCACGTCAATCCTTGCACGCCAGCCTTTGGTCACTGCATTGACAAAACACGACACGATACAATCTCGTTTCCTTTATCAGAAGTCGGGACATGTCCAGCTGTCAAGCTGTCAAGCTGTCAAGTTGTCAACTAGTGTTTCGTTACACCAGAACGTTTCCTCTTTTCCCCATCACAACATGAGCCGTTACTCCGGCCATCCGCATGATCCTTTTCGTGGCTCTACTCTCCAACTATTGCATTGTACTCCAAATGCCACTCATACTAGTGTCTTCTCTGCTTCCCTCCATCATCTTCGAACCCAATAGCAAACAATATGTGGTGGTCTTGTAAGGTTCTCACGATTTCCATATCAGAAAATTGTATGTGGCTTACATTTCGTATCACCACTATCTCCTGAACCCTGCCCTAAGAGTCGAATCTGGATCCATTTCCGTGGAGCAAGATTGGATTCTATTCCGTTAGTAGCATGGCGGTCCCTCCAGAACGTGGTATACGGCGTGCGCCGATGGATTCATTCTGAGTGTCCAATAATGAACCCAACTTAAGATACTCGTTCTTTTTTGTTCCTTTCCTTATGAGCTTCACCATACTTCCTGCTATCCCGTGCCTCCCTCGACCAATTGCAAGTATGGAAATCGGAGCACCCGCGAGATTTCCCCATCCGTACCCTGCTCCACTAACCACATAAGACCTTCCTGATAAAGATTTGCCAAGAAGGAACCCAACCAGGAGTCCAGGACGCTTATCTACACGAGCCAGTGAAGATCACCATACGCTTGCAAAAAAGTTCCCATCTTCGTGAATTCTTATCAGGCTTCCTACGTACAGCTCACGATTGTTTTTCGTTCAATTGATTCGTCCCAAAGATATGGGAGGCACCCCTCAATGAGTTAAATTAATTTTCTAGAATGTCAAGCCTTGGCTTTCCGTTGCATACATATGTAACTAGGCCGTGTTCCCCCTCTGATTGTCCTACCCCGTCCCAGAAAGTTTTCATCTTTTCATTCTGCTTCCCTAAATTCACAACCTTGGAGCAATGTCGGACTTCGTCCATGGTGATCAGGCCGATCTAAAACATGCTCACCATGTTAATCATTCCCATGATCTGGAGAACGGCCGCCTTGAAAAAGACCTTGATCCTGCTGTGATCACGGCTGGAAGTCATGGATCCGAGGGCGATTCCGAGGAGATAGTCTTGGCCAGAGAACTTCGAGAGAAAAAAGGCTTCCTGCGTAGCCTGCGACGTGGTGAAGAATGGCTGGACGAAAAGCTGGGAATTGAAACGCAAGGTATTGATAGGATCCGCGAAGAAGACAAGCAACCTCCGTCAATCCTCAACGTCTTCTTTCTCTGGTGGTCTCTCACAATGCATGTTGGTACCATACCAATTGGTCTTCTTGGTACGGATCCCGAAGTCTATGGTCTCTCCCTCAGTCAAGCAGTTGGCGCCATTATTGTTTCAACTATTTTGGGAGCCGCTTGCACTGCATATACTGGTACTCTTGGTCCAAAAGTAAGTATTCCGGAAATGTGTCTCTTGAATACTGCTAACAAATGTTAAGCTTGGTCTCCGTGCAATCGCATGTTCTCGATACTCCTTCGGTTTCTACGGTGCAAAACTCTGCTCAGTTCTCAATGTTGTTATCGGTGGAGGTTTTGCCGTGGTCAACATTGTGGTAGTGGGTCAGATTTTGGCTGCCGTCTCTGATTATACTATGACAATTGTGGTGGGAATTGTCATCGTCGCAGTCATCAGTTATATTGTATCGATTTTCGGCTTCAGAATTATTCATACGTGGGAGAAATACTCGTGGATCATGACATTCATTATCATGTGTGTCTTGATTGGCCAAGTCGCTCCTAAGATGGAGCCAAGTCTCCCATCTGAGGTTTCTGGTCTTGGTTTCTCAGGCTCGTGGCTTAGTTTCTTCGCTCTATGCTTTTCTTCCGCCTCGGGATGGTGCTCAATTGCTTCAGATTACTACTGCAACTACCCTGCCAATACCAAGGGCTGGAAAATTTTCTTCCTTACCATCTTGGGAATTTCCCTTCCAACGATCTTTGCAACTATTATCGGTGCATGCCTGGGAAATGCGGCACTGGCTTCATCAAAGAATCCAACTTGGACAACGGCATATGAAGATCATGGACTTGGTGGTCTTCTTCTAGAGTCTTTCCATCCGTTCCGATTTTCCAAATTCTGCCTTGTCTTACTGGTTTTCTCAGTTATCGGTAACAACGTCGCTGTGAACTACTCTAGTGGTCTTGGTCTTCAATTGCTTGGTCATTATTTCCACGCAATCCCAAGATTCATCTGGTCATTTGTCAATGCTCTTGTGATTGCTGTTCTTGCGATTGCTGGTAGAGCACACTTATCCAGCATCGTCAGCGACTTTGTCTCCCTACTTGGATATTGGACAGTTTCTTTCACATTTGTTCTCCTAATCGAAGATAAATGGTTCCGTCGTACAGAAGGTTACGATTTGAACTCTTGGGATCAACCCGGCAAACTACCATGGGGCTTGGCTGCGGTTATGGCTCTTTTGGTTGGTTATCTGGGTGGTGGTCTTCCTGGCATGGCTCAGGTTTGGTATGTCGGTAAGTCACAATCACTTTCTCGGAGCATATTCAAAATACTAACACTACAATTAGGCCCAATTGCAGCTAAATTTGGACCCTACGGAGGTGATGTTGGAATCTTTCTCAGTGGTGTCTTTACTATCGTGACGTATCCTCCACTTCGATGGTACGAGCGTAAGATCACCGGTAGGTAGACCAAGGGCTGAATACCTGTTACTTACCTAAAAATTCAATTCTCTTTCCTATTAGGATAATTCAATCATAAAATATATATATATTCTTGGCAGTAAGAAGTGATTACCTACTTCCAAAGAAACAGAACGAATTCCATCCTACCTAGAGTCTTGAAATCTTGGCTAGATGGACCTATGTACAGGTTAAGTAGGGAAATCGGAACATTGATCGTTGAAGTTCTCGGTACCCCTCATGTTACTCAACGGTAAAATACCCCTCCTTCCCAGATGGAATTATCATAACGCATCATAACATAATAAAATACAACACATACATGCCGATCATTCAAAACAACCTTCCATTCAATTTCAAGCTCTTCCATGCAGTATTCCACCAACCCACCCATGTCATCCCCGTAACACCAAGCGACAATCCATCTTCCTGCATGCTCCCGCCACCATGTCCTTCAATTCCCCCACCGGATCAAGAAAAATTGTGGAATCTCGCGTTCTACGCTGCGTTTCCGATCCACCACGCGCAGGCAATCCAATCGTAAAAGGAAGGTCACATGGCGTGGAGTTCTCGTGTGCTGCGGCCAGCCCTGCTCGGCTTCCTGCATACGGGTTTGTTGTTTGTCGTTTGTCATTTGTCATAGTCGCATTGCGATGCGGTGCATGAAATTGTTGAGAATTGAGAATTGGGGTATATGTTGATGGATATTTGGATATGCATGTGCACATGTATGTATATGTATATATGTAGGGAGATTAAAGGGAATGGGTCCTGGGGATGGTTTGGAGGAGGTAGGTGGTACATGCACAGTTTATTTTTCCGATGTGCCGAGATTGACCGAGGAGGGGGTGAAAAAGGGAGGGAGATGTAATGTACGAAGTAATGAACTCGTGTCAGTCAAACGGGTTGATTGAATGGACTGATATATGAGGGATATTGAACTGCGCGGAATTGGGGACGGAATGTTGACTGAGAAGAAAGAGGTATTGATGCAGCATGCGCTATGATTCGTTCAAGTAGATGAACAAGGCTATGGGAAGCCATCCTCTGCACGAGCTGAGGGTGCGAGGTTTCACAGGCGATATCTCGAGATGTGGCGCCCGGTTTTGGAAAATTGAGATATATGTAAGTCTCTAATCTACAAGTATATGCTCAGATTTTCTCATGGCTGTGCTCTCCATGGGCAGACCTATTTTTGGATTTCGGGTTTCTAGAGGAGATACGTACAGACAAGTCAAAGGCAAAGAGGCAAGAAGAAATAAGCTCATTAATTCATTTCATTGTTTGGTATGGCACACTTGTAATATATTACAAGGCTAAGGACAGCTCATCTGCCTAGCTATGGGTATTTTCCTTCTCAAACTCCACGCAAAAGCAAATATGATTGAATCCATTGACCTCAAAAACCCTACCCGTTACTTCCTGGAGTAGGAGTATGTCCTACGCTCCCACTCCCATTTCTTCTCATCAGGTTCGGAAACATCAAAGATCCATCCAGATCGTCCATGTCAGGAACATCGCTTAAATCACTCTCATCATCTGCGCTATCGTGTACACTGCCTGGTGCTGAACTATCCTCTCTTCTTGCGCTTTGCTGGGGTCCTGCAATAGGTATCTCAATTCTGGGGGCAGACGAAGTAATAGGCGATGCATTTGAAGGCAAAATAGAAGATGACGCGGCATTTTTAGGTCGAGTAGGGGCAGCAGGTCGAGCTGCTTCAGCGGCACGATTGATAGATTGCTCGGCTCTGGTAATGACTGCCTTACGGTTGATACCGAGTTTACGAGGTCTGGGTATCTCAACAGAAGGAAGCGGG